CGGAGAGTTAGCCTCCGTAACACGTGCGCTTCTCAACGAAGCAATGCCTATATCGGTGAAATGCGGATAGTACACCTCACACCCCCAGCAGAACGCTTTCTTTGTGTTCTACCTCGGTTTCGTAATAGCCCCGATTGCAGTTCCTCTATATTTAGCATTTTTGTCCCCCTTGCTGGGTTCATGAAACGTGCATGCTGGCTCAGGACAGCATCGGAAACTATAGTGATGCTTACCGACAACCACCTGCTAAGCGAAGCCTATAACATCATTTAAGGCGTTTCTAGAGCTCTTGAGATCCAAACAATATGCCAGAATACACTTGAAATATGTAAATAATAGCTTCTTTGTTGCGAAGGCTGATGCAAGCAGTTAGCTGCGTTAGACAGGTGCAACCACCGTTCCTAGGACTATTTCTGACAGCCCATCAGCTCGCGATAAAGCTCGAACCTACGTTGAAATGAAAGAAGATTGTGGAACACAATTCTCCGCACTAAATCTAATTTCTTGACGGCGCGTGGAGACCATCGATCACCGGTCAGGAAAGAGTTAATCACGGTTGGCGGGAACACGGGAGCACGTAGCATCGAGTACTAGCGGAGCACGCTAAGGCCCGCTTCAAATGGGGCAACCTTTCCAGCAATTTCGGTGTTGCTGGCGAGTTGTTCCCCAGCTTTCCCTAGGTCCTGGCGCTGCAACACGAATGGACCAGTTACAATACGTACAGTCCAACGACAGCGAAGGATGTTGGGAACCCTGGGTACAGATGACGCGCTTTCTCGTTGCATCTCCACAACTACGCGTGAATCGCGGCAGCTATAGCCAGCAGCCATGGTTGCAATTATGAACCAACCATACCGGCTGTCTCGAACAACGTTGCACGCGGCGCTAAGGTTCCTTTCACTACTAGCAGTTGTTGCAGGGATACAAAGAACCTCTTTGGCAAGAAAATAAGAACGTGGAAATTTCTCGCTTCAATACTCCCCCATTTCAACTGGTCACCAATGTTTTCACACGATACACTGGGCTCGGGGCTGCCGTCCGAGCCAGTTCAGGCCCGCCAAGGTGCTGGCCTCGGCCCAAACCGTGCCAGGCCCTTTAAAAAAAAAAAGAACTGTACCCGGCCCAGCCCGGCCCTTGGGTGGCCTCGGGCTTTTGGGAAAGCCCGAGCCTGTGCTCTCAGCTGCACTGCACAAAATTCACGAAATATTGAGCCTGCGAAAGTAAAGTTGCAGTACCCGTTTCATCTGCTAGGATGGGCATTGAGGCTAACCTTTCTTTCAGTTTAGCAAAAGCAGAAAACAACATGATGCCTCCACTGGAACAAAAATATCTACAGCAGAGAAGTGGTGAGGCCATTAAAAAAAATTCTCAATTTATCTCGATCTTATCGATAAAGCCGGTATACACAGAATGTGGTTCCGCGGCACCTTTCAAGGTTTCTGATGGACATAGCATTGTTCTTGTTTGTTTTCCTGCAGCGAGGCACTAAGTGGCTTTTACATGTACCCTTCATCTTCTGAGAACTTTTTTTTACCATTTTTTTCTTCTTTGGTCGTAGCACATTAGCGTTTTTCAAGCTCTGTCCTTGTTTATGTGATGCTGAGCACATCTTTGATTTTTTGTTTACTTCCCATAAACTGTACAAATGCAAATGCCGTAACGCCGGCGGACGACGTTTGCGTTCGAACGGTGAATTGAGACCAGCGTGGTAGAGGCAAATTCAGGTAGCTTTACGTCTGCCCACCGATTGGTGCAGTGGTAGAATGTCAAGCTCACAATCGAGGGGTCGTTGGTTCGATTCTCGTTGAGGAACATTTAGAATTTCGTTCCTTTTTATCAATTTACCACTCTTTCCTACAGACCGTCCTCCGAGGCATGTGTTACACACTTCATAACAGTTTTCATGGCATTCTGTTACATTTCCTTAGGGATCCCAGCCTATAAACACATTCTGTGTTCTAAACTCTGCCTGTGCTTCAACGTTTCTCACACATAGCAAGTCCACTATCTGATTTTAATTGAATGTGCTCAGCCATGAGCCAGGACTACACATTTGCATTCATGTTCATGCGACGCTAAATTATCACCTTGTCTGAGAAGGAGCATTTAGAAGAAGGTAAGAGTTTGTAAAAGCTATTTAAAATGACGCAACGTCTGCGACATGGTTGGCAGGCACCCCATGTCTCTGCCAAATTTAGCAGATTTCATTGACTCGATCCATTTGGAACTCTTCCTTTTAAGTGATGTTGTATGCACGACGTCGTGCACCGCGACCAGAAATGGCTATACGCACGACGCTAAACAGTTTGCATCACAGTAAACATGCCTCAGTGAATCAATTTAATTAAGCATTTAGTAAAAAAAAATATTGCATATACAACAGATTTTCAAAACGGACTGGCAAAGCTGTGACATAGCTCTGGGGTAAGGCGGCTACTTCACGCAAAGCGGAACCCGGGATAGAATCCAAAAAATGGCAAGCATACTTTTTTTTTTCTTTTTGTAAAGCATTTGGCAATTTTGACAGCATATTAATTCCCTCACTACTATCGCTGTAAAAAACAAATTTGTTCTCTACAAACTGTCACAAGATGATAGGGAGCCAAAATCCACCACAGAATTAACAGTGCGAGCTCTCCGCATCGTGTGTATAGCTATTTCCGGTCGAGCAGAGCCGTATATAGAGAGTGTATGGTCAATGGGAGGTGCGGGCAGAGCCAGGGCTTGCACCAGACTCAGAAAGAGGGCCTGACATGCTCTCTTGGTCAACCAGAAGCCAAAAAGAATCCCTTGCAGTAGTAGCGAGAAACAGTTTCAATCGTTTTAATAAGCGTGTAAGAGTCAAATGTACTAGCCCTTCACGGTTGAAAATAGGGTGCACGTGGTGTTTCGATCATGATCGTGCAGAAAAATGTAAGAAACGAATGCGCCGCTCGAACAGAGTCGAAGTCTGTTTTGCTCGGACAGAGCGTGACCGCTTGGACGGCAGATTCCCGGTCCTCGGCACCTGGCATACGGATTATGTCGATCGTTCCGCTAGTCCCACTCTTCCATCATGATTTTGGATGAATGTGATTGAAACATCACATGCACCATATTTTCTGTCACGGAGAGTTACTCCGACGCACTTGTTAAGTTTGTTCATCGCTACCACCACCAGGGTAATATTTCTGGCTTCTGGTTGGCTACATTTGAATTTGTGGAGACGCCCTGGAACACGCCTAGCCCGCTTTCGGCCAATGGCGCCTCCCGAGTTGTCTCTCATACTTCCCAACGAATGGCCAAACTCTCTACACATACAAATCAGCGGTCAAGGTGCAGAACATTATGTAATAGCATTACTTTTTTTACTAACAAACTTCCCATTAGGTGATACAAAAGAGAACTGCATTGTTTTTCTCAATGAATGAATGGATGGATGCTAATGGCTGCACCCTTTATAGTGGACGGCAACTTGCGCCACCTAGCCTAGAAATTAAGAACCAAAAGTATGCTTTCTTTTTTTCGCTAATTTGCATACCCTCTGGAATTTTGTAACTATCCCCATGCAGTGTGGGATACCACCAGGATGACCTTTGGGGGATCGGCAAAGAAGCTAAAAACTTCACCCTTGCCTTTCTTCCCCGGCGAGGGAGTCGTTACTTTTTCTCCGGTCCAACCAATTAAAAAATGAGTAAAGCTATACGCACTTCGGACGAAGTGGCTATACGCACTCCTGGGAGAGCTCATGCCGCTCGGGCCACCCTTTTCGAACGGCGCGTGTATCGCTGGGGAGCTCGTTAATACAGCCCCCCGCCTGCGTTCACGCCGCTTTGTGGCGACAGTATGCGGCTGCTAATTACAAAACTTAACCAGTACACACCACGTAGCGGCGTCAAGCCGGCAACCCAAGCCCCGCTGTCCCCGATCGCACCTCCGGAAAGGCAGACCCATACATTTTAGTTCCGCGTAGTTTCGTCGACAACATGATCGCAAAAAAGAAATGTCGTAAATATTGCCAATGCCTCAACAAAACAAAATGTTTGAGAAAAAAAGAAAAAAAAAAGTAGGCCCACCGCGGATCGAACCTGCGTCCACTTGCGTACAAAGCGGACACCTTAACCCCTATGCTATGCCTTCGCTTAGAAAACTCGTTGTGACCATTCGTTTTTTACGAGTTTAGCGGAGTGCGTATAGCCATTTCGACCGAAATGCACTCCGGAGTGCGTATAGCCTTATTCTTACACAATATTTAGCAGTGTTGCCCTTCGAAATTGTATGCGGCATCATTTACACGGACGTTTTAATGACCCTCTCGTGATTTGCTATTCTTTGAATCAACACTTCACTGTCCATTTCCCTGCCACACCTAGAAGCAATAATCGTAATAATCTTTATTCGCGAGAGTAATGTCACCTCGAGTGGCTAACGAGGCAGACAGAAAGGCGAGAGCCCGTGCACTAGTGTGCCTGTCAGCCAGCCACCCGGGGCATGGACTAACAGTGGGAACCCCATTAGGAGAGGCGGCGCTGCTTACAAGAGAGTGATCATTCTGGCCAGCCCCTGGAAGAACTCGGTCAGGGTTCCGACCCGCCACAGCGGCTTGGACTCCAAAATCTCTCCGCCTGGAATCAGATCGACGGCGAGATCAGACGACACTCGGCTGGAACAGTCCTTGAGAAATTCTTTGCGCAGAGAGTGCTAGCAGCCAGTAAGCACACTTAGAACGGGCTAATACTAAAACACAGTAGGTATTATGAGTCGGACGTCCACGAAGAAATGGTGCGATGGCAAGAAAGCTGGGACTGGGGTATCGAAAACAAAAGGGGGGGAGGGGGGGATGTTTACGAGCGAAAGGCGCACGTCATCTAACGTTACTGCGCATCAGCCGCCGCTGCTCAGTTCGCTAACTCCAACCATTGGGCCTCTGATCGGCTGTCCCTATTCGCACTCCGAGTGCGGATAGTGGTGGTTTCTTATCCGCACTCCGAGTGCGGATTAGAATGGATTCTTATCCGCACTCCGAGTGCGGATTGTGCTGGATTCTTATCCGCACTTCGAGTGCGGATTGTGCTGGATTCTTATCCGCACTCCAAGGCTCGAAGTGCGATCGCAGCGCGCCGCGCGTTTATTTCAAAACGGTCAGTTAGGGAGTTAGGTCAGTTGTCAGTCTGGTGTCTGGTCAGTCGGTCAGCCTGGTCAGCCTCGCTAGTCGCGCACACGTGTCTGGTAGTGCCTTACACACTGATCAGTTCAACGTGGTCTACGAGGCCCCGGGCCCCGCTTCCTTGACGCTTTCGCCTCTGGCAGTGCCTATACACACTGTCCAGCTATCTTGTAGGCGTAGTGTCAGTGATCAGGCAGAGACTGCCGCCTAAATGCCAACGTCAACGTTTCGATCGTAGCACGTTTCAATCACGCTGGCTTTGCCAGCCATGTCCGATACTTCGGACCTGCTGGAAGATGACGGCGCTGAAGTTGTGCCGGCCATGTCCGTGTCAGGTACTTCGGACATACTGGAAGATGACATCGCTGAAGCCACTGAAGCTGTGCCGGCCATGTCCGTGTCAGGTACTTCGGGCCTACTGGAAGATGACGTCGCTGAAGTTGTACGAATCGGTGCTGCCTTTGACGATTTCCAATCATTCGACAAGGCTTTCAAGGACTACCAAGCAGCAACATTCCAGCTCTTCGTGGTGAAACGATCGAAGTCCGTAGTAGTAGCCAACAGAGGAATAGACCCATGCAATGCGCTGAAACAAGAACTTGCGTATGCTAATGTGACATTCCAGTGCAAGCATGGCGGGATGCCGCGAAAGGAAGGAACGGGCTCCCGACCTAATCAACGGTAAGTTTCATTGCATTGTTGTTGTTAGGGGGCCTCCAAAAGCAAAATAGTCCACGCGTGATTGCCTTGCCATCTAAACATGCTTCTGCACGACTTGTTTTCTGCATTTCAACCATAACCATGATTTTGCCCAGTGCCTGACACGTCTTTCCCTCTTGACATCCGTGTACTGCTTGCAGAGAACTGTAAGCTATATGCTAGCACATAGATTGCAATTGTCGCCATTGCTGGGTACTGACGGTTATTTCTACTTACTAGTTTCGAGCAACACCTGTTAGCGGACTAGAATGGGTTCATGTCTAGGGAAATATTACTGGTTTCTTTGAACTACAACCTCTGCGGTGTGGAACTAACACGACAGACCGAATGCTCTCGGCGCATAAAATACTGGCATGGCCGCGGATGACATCACATTCAATCTATGTAGAAGGTGCTTGGACAGTAATTACAGTCAACATCTGTTATTTTGACCAATTTAATTCCCCCCCCCCCCCCCTTTCCTCCCCTCTGCCTGAGGGTGACAAACAAAGTCCCCAAAACTGCTCATGGTTTTGTATAAAATTATGAAGTTTATTTAGGTGTTAATTTCTGTGTTTATTTATTTATTTATATTTTTTTTGCAGTAATGTGATTGGTCATAGTCATTTTGGAGCAGCTGTTGGAGCAGCCAAAAGTTCATTTTGGAGAAGCAAAAAGAGCTTTTCGAGCATAACCGCGCACTTCATTTTCATTTAATCGCTGCAGTTGTCAGGAGACAGCAAATAACACCAGCTGTTCAGTTGCTTGTGGAAGCACCAGACACGGTAACAATAAGACGACTGATGAAGAACAGCGCAAACTGCCGTGAATGATTATTTTAGGTACGAAATCCCACTGAAGAAACGTTAACATACAATCATTTTGAGCACATAGATTTATGTGTCCTTCAATTTCTAAGGGGGGTTGTTACAAAACTGCAATTCTTAATTCAGACAAGAAAGAACAAAGCATAAAAAATAAATCTACAAGAGTCCATAAACCTTCTTGCACCACGTCTCGCTCTGGAGGAGTACCTTTCCCCTTAGTATGCGGGTGCGCTGCGGCGAAGCAAGGTACACAACATCGTGACGCCTAGTTCGCAATTGTTGCTTCACTGCATTACACCAGTGTGCGGTGAGAACCGCACTCAACAAAGCTAACTAACCCACCAGAACAGACCACGAACTCGAGACTTGGTGAAACTTCTGAGTACTGTCAGTGCTTGGTGTGAAATCAAATCAAATAGTATGTTATTTGAGGCGATTGTCAAAAATCCTGAAAACCTGCATGAGCCTACCCTAACGATTCGCACCGGTAGCGAGGCCTGCAGCTGTTATATTTTCAGTATTATTTATTTGAACTTAAGCTCTGGTGCAATGTTGGTGCAAATTCCTCACATTCTGGTCAAGTGTAGCAGAATAAGCACTTTGGCGCAAATGGCGCAGCAATCACATCACTGTTTCTGTTACGAGTTTGGATGTCGCTACATTGGGGGTAGGCTCGCATACCTTGGAATAAATGCAAAAAACCCTGAGACTTGCCACTAACTTTTTTGTAAGTTCGTATCTGTCCTAAAAACCTGAATTTTTTATATCACAATGACAAAATAAACAACTGCGTAGTACTTCACATTAGTCTGGTAAATGTGCCAGCTGCCGGTAGTAGACCACACAATTTGGCCCTTTTAGAAGGAGGAGGAGCAGTGTATTTATTACAGTGGAAGCAATGATCCCATAGATTTCAATGGAGGGGTGGGGCGACTGATGTTCCTATAACACCTTCTTCAGCCTGCGTGACTACTAGTGGCGTATCCAGAAATATATTTGGGGGGTCTTGGGGCTGAGGCAACACATCCTAGATAAGAAAGCCTAAGGGCTGAATTTTCTTGCATCACTAAAGAAACCACCGTAGGTCAGCGATTGGACATGACTACGGCGTCAACGTTCAGCTGGAACATGTGTCCAATCACTGAAAATACGACGTATAGCCGAATGCTAATGCCGCAGTTGTGTCCAATCGCTGGCCTAAGGTTTTTCTTCTTTAGTGAGGCAGGAAAATTCAGTACTTAGACTTTCTTATCTAGAAGGTGTTGGCTGAGGTGGCTTGAATGCCCATGAGTGGGGAGGGAGGTCAAAATACATGTGTATATTATAGGGTCGGCTGGGTTTCGGAGGTTCTGAAGCGCTATAAGCCCTCGCTATGCCACTGGTAACTACGGCATGTTTTTGTGGCAACTGCAAGGAGGACATTTGTTGGAGAGCTGTAAATTGCTAAAACAGACAAAGAAAACGAAAGTTTTCAGCGGCTTCATCTTTCTTTCTTGTTTATTTATTTTTATTCAGAATTGAGAATATAACAATTAAAGGCTGAATTTCAGATAGTGTAAACTGCATGAGTCGTGTGAAGGCTTAACTTTCACTACTTGAAAAGTGTTGTGAAACACTTCTAGCATACCACTCCGAAATGCGAAGTTTTGGGCCTGCAAAATGTTCCTAAAATCAAGTCACAGCAAAAATTAAGCTGTTTACAGTAATTGGAAATAAAACAAAACTAAATGACTCAGAAAAACACTTTCTAAATTTACCCAAAAATAACTTGAGAATACATGGAACCCTAATTATGGGATGTTTCATTATTTCTGAGATTAGCAAATAATTTCAGAGCATCTAAATGAAGTGAGACAAACATCCTGTTCACATTTCGTGCACAAGACAATCACAAAAGATGCCACTGACTGTGAATAGGCTCAAATTTCAACTACTTCTGAACTAACAAGAAAAAGAAAGATGTCTTGGCTATGCAGGTTTCGTTTCGCTTAAAAAATATTCAGAAGATGAAAATTATTTTTTTATTGCCATTTCCACAGAAGTTATTAAAATATTATCATATTATTCCACATAATATTCATCTAGAAAAATTGCCATTTATTATCAGTCATTAGCAAAAAAGCTGTTCATGACAAAAGGAGTATTAATAGAAGTTTAGTGTTTTATGGTATTAGTACAACCCACTTGTTATTGAGTTGCCTATTTGATAATCAACATTTTGTTCTTCTAGGACAGCGAAGGTGGACTGCACGGCATATGTCAAGTGCAAGTCCAGCAAAGAAATGCAGAAGCTTGTGGTTGTCGACGTCTGCCTCCAGCATACTGGCCACGAGGTGAGTGAGTCAGTATACCGGCACTATCCACAGAATCGCCGCCTCACCACTGAGGAAGAGCAGCTTGTACAAGAGCCTGTAACCGAGCTGCAGGTGAACCCCTCTCTTCTGAGAAACTTCCTGCAAAGCAAGACAGGGAAGCCACTCACTGCAAAGGACATAGAAAATGTGGTGGCGCGCCTGAAAGGGAACAAGAAACCGGACATCGAGCAACTGGGGGAGGAGATCAAGGAGCTGTTTCGGCAAGATCCCACAGCAGCAGTGACTCTGGGCACGAACAACTCAAATGAGATGGAGCTTCTCCTCATCCAGACCAGCATGATGGCCGAGTTCTACAAGAAATTTCCTGAAGTGCTGCTTCTAGACGGCACATACAGGACCAACAACTTGAAGATGGCTCTCTTTGTTTTCATGGTTGTTGATGGAAATGGATCGAGCCAAGTCGTTGCATACTGCTTTGTCAGCAGTGAAGATCGTGCACACATGGACTCTATGATGCAAACGTTTGTTGGCCTTCAGGGTGTTGAGAAGACCAAATGTGTCATCGTCGACAAGGACTTCAAAGAGATTAGGGCCATCCGAAACAACTTCTCGTCAGATGCCGTTGTTCAGCTCTGCGAGTTTCACGTGAAGAAAGCACTGAAGAGAGCCGTGACGAGCAGCAAGGATGATGCTGACAAGGACAGGCTGAACAGTCTTTTGGTCAAGATGATTCATGCACCGAATGAAGAGGCCTACGACGTTCTGAAGGCAGAGCTTGACCAAACTGCCAGTGAAGGCTTTAAAGCATACTTCGAGAAGAACTGGCACAAGATGCAAGACATGTGGGTCCGCTACCGCTGCGACCAGCATTTCAACCTTGGGAACAACACTACAAACCGGGTGGAATGCCACAACTCGAAACTAAAAGCGGTTCTCAAGGTCAGTGACAAAATCCACGTCGCTCTGAAGTCCATGCTGAAGCTGCACAGCATCAAGATTGTTGAGTCTGAACACCTGCATGCCCTTAATGCCAGCTCATCATTCTTTACCTACAAGAGCAACACTGACCTCATTCAACAGTGCTCTTCACTTCTGACTCCATTTGCAACTGGGAAAGTCGTCTGCGAAGAACAGAAGGCAAACGTCATGCCCGAAGCTTCTGTTTCTGACTTCAATGAAGACTATGCTGTCACGACTCGGAGAGGTCAATATGTAGTGTCCTACTCGCTGACAAGCTGCACCTGCCGAACATTTGCGACAATGGGAGTGGTCTGTCGCCACATGATCCTTGTATCATGGCAGACAAGACGTGACATAGATGTTGTAAGTGCAACCAGCTCCAGGTGGCTGAGAGCAGCGCAGCCATACCTCCCTGCACAGGCCAGCGATCAGGGCGCAGTGCATCTTCAACGCACACGGCTCAAAGATCTCGACTACAGCACAGCATCGAGAGGCACTAAATATAACCATGCTCTTTGTCTCTTGAAGGACATTGGTGATCTGGTCGCAGAATGTGGGTCTGAAGAGTTCACACGCCGAATGGATTTAATAAAGAAACTAAAAGCGATGTGGATGGCAAACAAGACGGTCGAGCTCTGGAATAGCGACTGTAGTGAAAGTGATGTGGACTTCACTCGAGAGCCTGGCATGGACAATCCGGGAGCATCTCCAGGTGACAGTGACCTGCAACAACAAAACATCAGGAGCCGGCACATCACCCCTGCTATGTCATGCCTGACTAGCAACATGGTAAATAATTCCTCTCCTTTACCTGTGATCCTTGTTAATCTGCCTTTTTTTTAAATTTAGTCGCTGGATGCAAGAACAGCAGCAGTGTCTGTGAGCATGCCGCCGACTCACCGGTCCGGCCAAGACTCCCAGGTACTGAGACCTTAATTCTTTTCCTTTGTCGCCGTTAATCCCCTTTTCTTTCAGCCCCCTGGCCTGAGGACACCTGCTACTTCGCTCGCGAGTACGTCGCCGACCCACCAGTCCTGCCAAGACTCCAGGGTACTGAGACCTTCACTCTTTTCCTTGGTTGCCATTAATCTCCTTCTTTTCTTTCAGTCTCCCAACGTAAGGACTCCTGCCGCTGCGCTCGCAAGCAAGCCGCCGACCAAGCAGTCCCGCCAAGAGTCCCAGGTACTGAATCCTTCACTCTTTTCCTTGGTCGCCGTTGAAACCCTTCTTTTCTTTCAGTCCCCTGGCCTGAGGACACCTGCCGCTTCGCTCGCGACTAAGCCGCCGACCCACCAGTCCTGCCAAGACTCCAGGGTACTGAGACCTTCGCTCTTTTTCTTGGTCGCCATTAATCCCTTTCTTTTCTTCCAGTCTCCTGGCTTAAGGACTCCTGCCGCTGCGCTCGCAAGCAAGCCGCCGACTCAGCAGTCCCGCCAAGAGTCCCAGGTACCGAATCCTTCACTCTTTTCCTTGGTCGCCGTTGAAACCCTTCTTTTCTTTCAGTCCCCTGGCCTGAGGACACCTGCCGCTTCGCTCGCGACTAAGCCGCCGACCCACCAGTCCTGCCAAGACTCCAGGGTACTGAGACCTTCGCTCTTTTTCTTGGTCGCCATTAATCCCTTTCTTTTCTTCCAGTCTCCTGGCTTAAGGACTCCTGCCGCTGCGCTCGCAAGCAAGCCGCCGACTCAGCAGTCCCGCCAAGAGTCCCAGGTACTGATTCCTTCCCTCTTTTCCTTGGTCGCCGTTGAAACCCTTCTTTTCTTTCAGTCCCCTGGCCTGAGGACACCTGCCGCTTCGCTCGCGAGTAAGCCGCCGATCCAGCAGTCCTGCCAAGACTCCCAGGTACTGAGTCCTTCACTCTTTTCCTTGGTTGCCATTAATCCCTTTATTTTCTTTCAGTCTCCCGGCGTAAGGACTCTTGCCGCTTCGCCCGCAAGCAAGCTGCCGACCCAGCAGTCCCGCCAAGACTCCCAGGTACTGAGATCTTTCCTCTTTTCCTTGGTCGCCGTTAATCCCCTTCTTTTCTTTCAGTCTCCCAACGTAAGGACTCCTGCCGCTGCGCTCGCAAGCAAGCCGCCGACCAAGCAGTCCCGCCAAGAGCCCCAGGTACTGAGTCCTTCCCTCTTTTCCTTGGTCGCCGTTGAAACCCTTCTTTTCTTTCAGTCCCCTGGCCTGAGGACACCTGCCGCTTCGCTCGCGAGTAAGCCGCCGACCCAGCAGTCCTGCCAAGACTCCCAGGTAATGAGTCCTTCACTCTTTTCCTTGGTCGCCGTTGAAACCCTTCTTTTCTTTCAGTCCCTTGGCCTGAGGACACCTGCCGCTTCGCTCGCGAGTAAGCCGCCGACCCACCAGTCCTGCCAAGACTCCAGGGTACTGAGACCTTCACTCTTTTTCTTGGTCGCCATTAATCCCCTTCTTTTCTTGCAGTTTCCTGGCGTAAGGACACCTGCCGCTTTGCCCACAAGCAAGCCGCCGACCCAGCAGTCCCGCCAAGAGTCCCAGGTACTGATTCCTTCCCTCTTTTCCTTGGTCGCCGTTGAAACCCTTCTTTTCTTTCAGTCCCTTGGCCTGAGGACACCTGCCGCTTCGCTCGTGAGTAAGCCGCTGACCCACCAGTCCTGCCAAGACACCATGGTACTGAGACCTTCACTCTTTTCCTTGGTTGCCATTAATCCCTTTCTTTTCTTTCAGTCTCCCGGCGTAAGGACTCTTGCCGCTTTGCCCGCAAGCAAGCTGCCGACCCAGCAGTCCCGCCAAGTCTCCATGGTACTGAGACCTTCACTCTTTTCCTTGGTTGCCATTAATCCCTTTTTTTCTTTCAGTCTCCCGGCGTAAGGACTCTTGCCGCTTCGCCCGCAAGCAAGCTGCCGACCCAGCAGTCCCGCCAAGACTCCCAGGTACTGAGATCTTTCCTCTTTTCCTTGGTCGCCGTTAATCCCCTTCTTTTCTTTCAGTCTCCCGGCGTAAGGACTCTTGCCGCTTTGCCCGCAAGCAAGCTGCCGACCCAGCAGTCCCGCCAAGTCTCCATGGTACTGAGACCTTCACTCTTTTCCTTGGTTGCCATTAATCCCTTTTTTTCTTTCAGTCTCCCGGCGTAAGGACTCTTGCCGCTTCGCCCGCAAGCAAGCTGCCGACCCAGCAGTCCCGCCAAGACTCCCAGGTACTGAGATCTTTCCTCTTTTCCTTGGTCGCCGTTAATCCCCTTCTTTTCTTTCAGTCTCCCAACGTAAGGACTCCTGCCGCTGCGCTCGCAAGCAAGCCGCCGACCAAGCAGTCCCGCCAAGAGTCCCAGGTACTGGATCCTTCACTCTTTTCCTTGGTTGCTGTTAATCCCCTTCTTTTCTTGCAGTTTCCTGGCGTAAGGACACCTGCCGCTTCGCCCACGAGCAAGCCGCCAATCCAGCAGTCCCGCCAAGTCTCCAGGGTACTGAGACCTTCACTCTTTTCCTTGGTTGCCATTAATCCCTTTCTTTTCTTTCAGTCTCCCGGCGTAAGGACTCTTGCCGCTCCGCCCGCAAGCAAGCTGCCGACCCAGCAGTCCCGCCAAGACTCCCAGGTACTGAGATCTTTCCTCTTTTCCTTGGTCGCCCTTAATCCCCTTCTTTTCTTGCAGTTTCCTGGCGTAAGGACACCTGCCGCTTTGCTCGTGAGCAAGCCGCCGACCCAGTGGTCCCGCCAAGACTCCAAGGTACTGAGTCCTTCACTTTTTTCCTTGGTCACCGTTAATCCCCTTCTTTTCATTCAGTTTTCCGGCCTGCGGACACCTGCCGCTGCGCTCGCGAGCAAGCTGCCGACCTGCCAGTCCCCACAGATATTGTATCTTTCATCCTCTTCAGCAAAAAGTGTTAATTCACATTCTTCTTTTCAGACTTCTGATTCAAAGGTACCATCGGTAGCAGTGCTTGGAAGCACATCTCCAGTGCAACAGTTGCCGAGGAAGGCACTTTTAATACCTTCAAGTCATGACTACCAGGTATGTAAGCAGCTGGGCTCCAGCTTTTGGGTTTTTGTCTAAACATTGATTCTTGCAGCTTCCAGGTGCAGCATCACGGAAAGTGGACTCACCAAATCAGGTTCTGCCCCTTGAACAAAGTCAAGGCTCCCAGGTATAGAGTTCAATTTATGTTCTTTGGATCTTTCCTTAACCATACTTGTTCTTGCAGCTTGCAGGTGTACCAACAGGACAGGGCTCACCGGATCAGGTCCCACCCTTTGAACAAAGTCAAGGCTTCCAGGTATGGATTCCCAATTTCTGTTCTTTGGATGTTCTTTTAACCTAATTTGTTCTTGCAGCTTCCAGATGGGGCAGCAGGACAGGGCTCACCGGATCAGGTCCCACCCTTTGAACAAAGTCAAGGCTTCCAGGTATGGATTCCCAATTTCTGTTCTTTGGGTCTTCTCTTAGCCAAATTTGTTCTTCCAGCTTCCAGATGTGGCCGTAGGACAAAGCTCGCTGGATCAGGTCCCACCCTTTGAACAAAGTCAAGGCTTCCAGGTATGGATTCCCAATTTCTGTTCTTTGGATCCTTTCTTAACCGAATTTGCTCTTGCAGCTTCCAGGTGCGGCAGCACAGAAAGCAAACTCGCTTGTCCAGGTTCTGTCCATTGAACAAAGTCAAGGCTTCCAGGTATAGATTCCCAATTTCTGTTCTTCGGATTTTTTCTTAACCGAATTTGTTCTTGCAGCTTCCAGATGTGGCAGCAGGACAAGACTCACCGGATCAGGTTCCACCCCTTGAACAAAGTCAAGGCTCCCAGGTATAGAGTTCAATTTATGTTCTTTGGATCTTTCCTTAACCATATTTGTTCTTGCAGCTTGCAGGTGTACCAACAGGACAGGGCTCACCGGATCAGGTTCCACCTTTTGAACGAAGTCAAGGCTTCCAGGTATGGAGTTTGATTCTTGTCCTTTGGATCTTCTTTTAAAGGCTGACAAACAACTAGAAAAGATGAAACAGCCCTCATGTACACCAACTCTTTTTTTTTTTGTTAAAACAATACAAGAGTGGAATGGGCTGACGGAGCTGCAAGTGTGCAGTGAAAATGAAGACATGTTTTTTTTAGCATTGTAACCCCCCTGCTGTAATGCCCTCGGGCACTGCGGGTTAATCTCTGAATAAAGAAGAATAAAGATTTCTGCTCTCCTGTGGGGAAGGGAACCCTCGTTTTCAACGGGAAGTAGCTCAGAGACCCGCTCCTTTCGGGAGTGGAGGGGAGAAGAGCGAGGGAGGCAAAGGAGACTGGTAACAGGTTTTCTGCCCGGCAGAAGACGATTCCGTTGGTCAGCCTTTAACCAAATTTGTTCTTGCAGCTTTCAGGTGTGGCAGCAGGACAGGGATCACCGGATCAGGTTGCACCCTTAGAACAAAGTCAAGGCTTCGAGGTACGGAGCCCAGTTCCCATTCTTTGGATCTTTTCCAACCAAATTTGTTCTTGCAGCTTCCAAATGTGGCAGCAGGACAGAGCTCACCAGATCAGGTTCCACCCATTGAACGAAGTCAAGGCTTCCAGGTATGGTGTCTAATTTTCATTCTTTGGATCTTTTCTAACCATTCCTGTACAGCTCTCAGGTGCAGCAAGTGTAATTGCAGAATCGTTAACCAAGGCTCCATCCATGGACTTAAATCAAGGTTGTGAGGTATGCATTAATTTCCACTTTCCTGGGATTGCTTCTAACATTACTTTTATTCAGTCTTCTGGGACAGGAGGAGCAAGTGCAGCAGTTGACCATGCGCTGGAAGGTGTAAGAGTGTCAGCTCGAAAGAGACCACGAGGAAACCCCAGTGGCTCAAAAGACTCTTGCGTAGGGGTCCGATTTCCTTCGAGAAAAAAGACAAATCAGCGGTCGTCCAGTTGCTCATTCCTTGCACTTCCCACCAAGGAGAAAACCTTGCGTAAGTTCACGCCACAAACATCTATTTGACGAAATATTGAAATTATGTATGTCAATCTAAGTGTTGCTTTTATTTACAGGTATGTTGCTTTGGTTCCTTGATGAAGAGACTGCATCAGACACTTTAAAGCATGGATATTGTGTGCAGGAGAGGGACATATCTGTCATGTGCCGATCATTGTCGAGTGGCGCCTTAGACAGCCGAGCTCCTATTTTGACGTTGAAGAAGTACTTTTCTAGAGGTGCTTGGTCCAAAGTCACCGAACTTAGTAAGTAGAACTGAAGTTTACAGTTCTAACTAAACTGTTCTTTCTTTGCACATTTTTTGCTTATTTAGCTAATTCCATTTTATCTTTTTTTAATGATACAGTGAAGAAGAAAAAAGAACAAGGCCTGTGGATTTGTCCCAAATGTGACATTGAGGATGACCATTCCATCAAAATGATATCATGTGACTTGTGCCTGGAGTGGTATCACTGGTAAATTTCTAAAAGCCTACCTTTATGATGCCTGTGTGATACTGTTAGCACAAACACAACATCAGTGCTATTCTTCATTTTGCTCAGAGTAAGGACGGGCACCAATCTCCTTTCGTCACGCGGTCATTAAGTTTTAAGAGAAAAGCAGTAAAAGCTAGCAATTGCTCGTTTGTGCTAACAATATTGTGCTGTGTTCAACTATAAGGCTGATAAAGTTATAAGAGCCACAGACACTGCAAGTGGTGAGGGAAGCCACTCCCAAAGGCTTTGCCTATTTGAACTGATGGGGTGTTTCCCCTTCAAATTCTCGATAAACATAAGTATTCTTCCTTGCCTTATTTGCAATTGATTGACACCTAGTACAAGTGTGATTCCTGGCTATTTGCACGAGTAGTGTGCTCTCTGAAACTACATTCCTTGAGCATATTTATTTTTTTCTTCAACAGGCCTTGTGTGGGTATTAGCAAGAAATCCGTTCCTACCGGCGATTGGTTCTGCGAAAGCTGCAAATAGGAAGAGACTTGATTGCGACTCCTGCTGAACAGCTAGAACAACCTTTTCTTGCAATGTTTAAGCCATGTTCTAATACCTAATTATTTATGTGTGATAATGTTGTTTTCATTTATTATTTGCTGATGGCCAAAGAACATATAATTGTATGTAAATCGAGGTATTTAGTGAAGCTTTTTTCTTGTATATTGTGTCCTATCTAGCAGTTCTTTCTTTTCGTTGTGTTCATTTTTAGCATAGTTTTCACTATTTTTATTTTTGCGGAGGTGTTATACTTTGTCATGCTAGTTTCTGTGCTTCATTTCATCCTGAAATGAACCACAGCATATATGTATAAAATACATTGAATGTTTGACTTCACTATGCCAACATATTACATTTGGCATAATTTTGTTGCCTGCAACTTTGTGAAATACAAGCTTTTCTTTGTCATCTTTCATGTGCATGCTTTGGAAAGTGTGAAAATGAAGTGGGTCACCGAGCAAACTAAAAAGGTTCAACTTTGGGCTGCTATTTATTTTGTTTGTACATCATATTGCTTTGTACTGAAGCATTAAGTGCACACTTTGTTCATGTCTTTTTTTTTTTTTCAAAATTTAAATTGTATTTTTTACACTGATATTGCTACCATCTTAGAGTGTTGTGCAAAGACTACTGTGTCAATAAATCCACCAAAAACTAAATTGATTTCTTTGATCTTCATTTTACCAAATAAAATGTGCGTGATTAAATTATTTTTTGCTGAGAATTTTATAGTATGTTTCAGGCTGATTAGATGCATTTCAGTATTTTTGTCAACCTTAATGGAACATTCGTAGCCTTAAGAGTACTTATCTGCATACATGCCTATTTGTAGTGTTCTATAAAATCTTTGTGCTCCACATGTGAAAATAAAACAAAACACTGCAATTATCAGAATCAGTTTATTTTTGTCACAGCACTTTTACACACATATGTGACAAGAGGGGCCAGGAAAAAAAGCTGCAAGTTTGCAGCTTGACGGGTTCCTGCCCCCCAAAACAGAGGGCAGAGCGGCATTGTCATCAAAAACACACACACAAAAAACAGTGGAAATAACTTACGTAACATGACATTTAGCAATATATTAAGTATCATCTCAATACACATTGAAATAGGTGTAACAAACATTCTATTTATTACCGGAAAGTTTAAATTGTAGACATTTAATGAAAGTTTACCAACACTCGCCTCCAGACACAAAAGAAAAACACAATAAAGATAACTTATATAAGATGTCGTATGAAATAAGTGTCATTGAATATAGGTTGCACTTCAGAACAGACTGAAGTAGAAGATATAATAAATGTAAGACAAACATTTTCACTCAATATAGAAAAGCCTGAGTTGTATGGGCATTTAATGAAGGTGAATCAACTTCTTGGGAATATAAGGTGTTTAACAATAACGGCAATCTGTAACTCAACCTCTGGAAGCCAAAATTAGTTCTAGATGATGGGATTCGCCATGGAAGCCAATGACATGAGGGATATAATGATACATTATTTTCAAGTTTAATGAGGTCAAAAATCACTAATATGTTCTCTTAAGGCACAATGATATGTCACAGTTAATCTATTAGAGTACATGTTTGATACATCAAGTATTTTATGCTTTATAAATAAAGGAAGAGAACTATAATCACGTGGGACATTTTTAATTATCCTTACTGCTTTTTTTTTTTTGCATTAACCTCAACCTGTCAAAGTTACTTTTTATTGTTGTCCCCCAGACCAGATATCAATAACTGTCTAAATCTTCTGTGATGTGCAAGTCTGGGTTGGTGTTTACTCAACATCTCCACCGCGTCCATGGAGTGTTCTTCAGGTCGTTTTCGAAATTTGTGACTGCTTGTTTTCCCGGTTGTTTGATTGTTGTTTCTCCGATTGCTTGTTCGCCTTCTGCTTCGCCTGGCACGCCCTGAACACAGTTCGCTCTTTGTGCTAATAAAGATTATTATTATTACGTTAAATTAATTGTCACATTAGGGCTCATGTATCGCTTCTGTGCTCACCCAATTAGCAATAAAAAGCGTACAGCCGCATCCCACCCAGATTTCCGCCTTCTGCCACCATCATGCCGCAACGTTGCAGGCGCGCAAAAGCTTGCAGTCCGCACAGCCCGCATGAGCTTAGACACCCGCTGTCACACACAACAGCACACATCGCGACCCGCCGAAGTCGTGACACAGTCGACACAGTCACGGAGGTCACAGATTCACAGCAGCAGCGCAGCAGCGCAGCAGCACACTCGTAGCTGACCCGCTGACCAGCTCCGTCCACAACGCTCGCACTCGGGTAGAGTCGTAGAGTGGTATTGCGTAGAGTGTGTAGGGGGTAGGGGTGGTAGGGGTGCGGATAAAACCCGGCGCAATCCGCACTTGGAGTGCGGATAAGAATCCAGCACAATCCGCACTCGGAGTGCGGATAAGAATCCAGCACAATCCGCACTCGGAGTGCGGATAAGAATCCATTCTAATCCGCACTCGGAGTGCGGATTAGAAACCACCACTATTCGCACTCGGAGTGCGGATAGGGACGGCCCCTCTGATCACGGCGATGCTACTTCCGTGACTACGAATACATCCCCATGTTGATGTTCCCAGTGGTCTCGTCGCGGAATGACTACTCACGTTCGTTGATGTACGGCATTTTGATCGTATTCTCTGGCCGCCGACCGTCAGAGATACTCCCCGAAGACGTTGCCTCTCGCTGGAAGACGACGGACAATCGGACAAATAACGATTACAGTCGTTTTCCTTCTTCGCGTAATTTTACGTGTCCTTCCTTCCCGTTGACGCAAAATGTTTAGTTTGGCTTGGCTTGTCCAGCTTGGCTTTCGTATAACTCTTTTCAATGCTTTTGAACCTTTTGAAAGTGGGTGACACCGATGTCACTTCAAAAAAATATTTAGTAAATTTAAACTTAAAAGTATAAAAAATAAATTGTTTTATTGCTTTTTATATAATAAATATTTTATTTCGTCAACTCGAGCTTTATCACTTCATCCGCCACGTGTCCCCACAGTAAAATCGACTAGACATCCCGTCATGCATTGCGCTCTGCTAAGCCTTTTCGTTTGTGTCCCGTAGGCCTCGAGAAGCATGGTGAGTAGTTCCAGTACCTTCAACCTACTCGTTTTACTGTTATACGGGTGAATTTGGCGCTGTACTTTCGCTTACGGAGTGATGTAATGAGTTTAGCTTCGCATTTGGTTGCAGTTTTTTTTGTGTGCAATGTTACGAGTTCTAATGTAATGAATCGGTTTTGTGGCAGGACGTAATATGGCTACCTTGGTATCCGCACGTTTCGACACGCGGTTGCACCGATCGGGAGTGTTTGTCTGCTCTTTCTCCTAACATGGCGTTTCTCAAAGGCTGGCATCTTATTTTTTTTTATCGCGTTTCTGTAATAATTTCTGCGAAACCTTTAACGTGCGGACCCGTTGTTGGCGTGGCCGTTTGTAAAAACCAAGGGAGGCTCGCAAGCCTGCTACCGTGGGGCATACCCTCAGCTTTTTTTTCGAGATACACGCGTTCTAACTGAAGGGGCTACCCTATGAGGTGTCCTCGCTACTGTAGAATGTTGGCGGTTGCAAAATCGACAGAGTTTAGACTTGCAGGGGCCGCATATTTTGACTCTACTTGCGAAGGCTGTCAAACTTTTTGTTGTAGGTGGTTGGATATTTGTGGGTGATAAAACTCTACGCCTAATTTGTCCGTGCGAGTTTTGCCATGTGTGCGTTTCCGTGATGAACCTGTACCCGATGATAGGAATTGCCGTCCGATACGAACGTGACGAGCGGTTTTCTGTTGCATCTGACGAGACGCACACCAACTTACCCGCGTGAGTGGGAGGTTCTGCTGGCGCTTTTTCTTACCCCTTTGTATTGCCGGCCTGCAGCCTTTGCGTACATACGTGGAGATCGGGCGGGTGGCCTACCTGACCCAGGGCAAGCAGCGGGGCAAGCTGTGCACCATCGTCAACGTAGTCGACCAGAACAGGGTGAGCTACGCTTCATGGCTACTTGTTTCCAGGCTCCTTTCTAGGGCCGACACTATTAGTGCCGAGATATTTCGGTGGCGCCCTCTAATGGTTTCCATCCGTGACGTCACAACTGGGATTTGCCTCGCCGTGACGTCACCAGTTGTTACCCTGGCTACTTCCCACCAGGTGCGACGACGAGTTCGGTGGTGTGTTTAAAAAGCACAGTGGAAGCTAGGAACCATCACAACCGGAACTAACACCGTCAAAGTTGACAATCTGACAATGCTCATATGGCCATGGTCTGGCCAATCGTGGAAAGCTGACCGCAGCGACGCTTTTGGTCGCGCACATCGCTAATACTCCGACCTGACAACAAGCAGAAGCTACGATTCCAGTAAGCCATCAGTGTTGGAGAGAGACGTGCGACGGCATACTGTAGCTGTGGTAAGCTGTCGCATGCTTCATTGCTCCGATTGGCTCTGGGGTGCTGTAGGTTCCGCCCTTCACAACCTTTTGCAGAAACTGGGTATCGCTTGGTCCCATAGTTGAACAATGCTTGTCTCTCTGCACATCAATTTGAAAGGCTCTATGGTATGGGGAAACTAAAAAAGATGCACAACTGCTCCGTAGTTTGCTAAGACACAGACTAGATTCAGCTAGCGATTCATTGACCCATTGATGTGTTGGATCCTAAGGTCAGCTTGCTTAGCTGGAGAAACCAAGAAATGAGTGGGATATCTTGTTTTGCTGGCCTTGTACTGTACCTGTTTTTCAATGGGAGCCCCTGCAATGGCCGTGCGCGCCTTTGTGCAGGCCGTGGTGGACGGTCCGTCGACGGGGGTGCCCCGGCAGGCGGTGCCCTTGAAGCACCTGCGGCTGACACGCCAGAAGCTGCGCATCCCCCACTCTACGTCTACCAAGGTGGTCCGGAGGGCCTGGGAGAAGGAAGGGGTCACCGCCAAGTGGAAGGAGTCTGCCTTCGCCAAGAAGCTGGCAGCACGCAAGCTGGTGAGCGAACCCTCGTTGCCTCGCAGGAGCGTGCCCTGTCTGTGATGACCTCGATCCTGGAAGTGCCGTCAGATACGAACATGACGATACTAAGGAAGCTGACTAGTCCCTGTAATCGCGACAAGGTGGCAATGGCAGGGAGGAGTTATCCCGCCTCCAGCGCGGGCTTCCTGCCTCGGACGCTTGGTGCACACCAAAGCGGAGTGAAGTCACGGAGTGCACGCTGGAGGTCGGGAAGACGCTCCCTTGTCATTTTGTCGGCGACTATGGTAGTCCGTGTTGATTGCCTTGTCCGAGTGGACCTTGGGCTGGGTTTGATGCGGGTCTTCCTCACCTTTGCAGAAGGCCAACATGTCCGACTTTGACCGCTTCAAGCTCAAGAGGACCAAACAGGCGGTAGGTTTGTTTGCTTCGGTCGCAGCACCCCATCACCGGGAATGGCAGCATCTGGTGTTTTCTTAAAATGCATTTTGTATCCACTCTGCCCTCTAGTGAATGCAGCCATGTAGAGGATCTGCAGTTTTGCCTTCTTAGTCACCCAACTTTTCCTTTACGGTATGCAGAAAGTATGGGAAATTTGTTAAGGCGTGCAAGTGATGAACCCCGATTCACTTTGATAGGAATTGCCGTCCGATACGAACGTGACGACGGTTTGAGTTCTGATGCACTTTTTTTTTTCCTTCCCTCGTACATTTTGTTTGAGTGCCGCCGGCATTGTCCACTAGACCCAGTCAGCGTGGGGATGTGTGGCAGTGATGGTAGTCTTGGCGGGAGTATGTCGTGGCAGTGTGCAGCAGTGTGTTGACTGGTGGGGGCCTGCATGCAGATGAACAGGCTGGTGCGGGTGCGCTTCCTCAAGCTGAAGGCCCTGGCCAAGAAGTCTGCAAAGAAGGCCCACGAGGAGAAGCTGGCCAAGAAGAAGAAGTGAACTGCTCCTTGGGGGCAACATTAAAACAAACTCTTTCTTTTGTCGCACCCAGTCTCTGCATATGTGGGAACATGTATTGGGCCTGCACTATGGGTTTCCAGTGACACGAAAGTAGCAGAAAGCCTCAGTTTGGTGCAAAATTTAGTCCGCTGGTAAGCGAGACATTGTCGCCCAATTGAGCGGACGTCAAATAACTCTAGAAGGTAATCTTCCTACAAGTCTTGTCTAGGATGAGCAGCTGAAGGAGGCTGCGATTTCTAGAAACCAACCTGGTTTCTAGAGCAGCCTGTAGTACTTGTGCGTCAGTTAGCAAGAGCTGTACTTCGACCTTCATGGCCGACACGGGCAAGCCCGGAGATTCCTCTTTTTAACCTAGTCTCGTAGTTTACCTTTTTTTGGTGGCATATGTCGTGGAAGTTTAGGCGCCCATAAATAAACCAGCCGCACCACTGATTCGATCAATATTTTCAGTCGGACAAATTGTCCGAAATTGCCATCCATCATCCCAATCGCTTGCGTGTGAAGTGTAACCACAACGGAAAAATGCATTGCCGTTTTTTTTTTTTCTTCTGGCTAATGAGTGCCATCAGTTGTTACCAAGCTATACCCATTTCCGCTCGAGATGCAGGTCCCAGATGCATCGCTTATGCACTGGACCAACTTCCTGAAGCAATTTGGACAGAGTGGCTCGGCCACAGTTTTTCAATCGCTCTCTCCGTCCACCGATTGACCGTACCCATGCGAAAACCTCGGGCACACGGCCATGCCCGAGGCTTCAGAAGCAGCTAGGTGCATGACAGCACCTCCTAGATGAGAAGGCCACACTGCTGAAGTTTCGGCGTCAGCATTCAACTGAGACTTGCCCAGTCAGAGTGTATTTTTTGCCGATGTTAAAAATTCTGCACTGTGGCTTTCTTTAGGTTGTGTTGGCTGGCCCCAGGGCGTCCAAGGAACTGAAGGAGGTTCCAGGAGGGGTCATTGAAAAGCGTGTGACCTGGCTAGCAATACCAGTCTTGGAAGTCTTGGCTAAATGGCTTGCCTTTAGTCCGTGGGCTAGCGGAGCTAGTGCCGTGCTCTAGAGCGAGGGTCGGCAACCCACGAGGCAGTTTTATGCGGCCCTCGGCATGACATCAAAAAGCACCCCCCCAATGCCGCTTCCTCACATAGACTCGAGGACCACACGGCAGTTTTGACCAGTGCTGTAGGTGTTGCCAAGAAAAAGTAACGAAGTATGTTACTCGTTATTTGTGCAAATAAAAAGGGCACAATAACAACCTGTTACCTCACTATAGAAGAAATGCATTACTGTTCACATTACTGATAAAAAATAACGCACGTTATATTTTTGATGTTTTGTGTTTTGACGGTTCAGGTACCAATAACCGCCATATTGAAACAAATATGTTCCTGCAGAAACTGAACATAATTTTATCTTTAAGCTTTTACTTAAATGCTCGGAAAATAAAAACCTAAAGAAAAGCTCAAAGAACTAAAAAATCCACATGGCTTGGCGCCTAAACACACGCAAAAAAATTGAAGCGTAATTTTTTTAATTCCTGGGAAGAAAACCCGAGTAACCAAACTACGTTACCCGTTACTTGAAATGAGTAACGTAAGTATGTTACCCGTTTCTGCTTTGAAAAAGTAACGAGTTCGTTACTATGTACTGAAATCAGTAAAGCGTTCCCAGTAACGCGTTACCACGAACACCATGGGGAATGTCCGGCACACGATACTTGGGAAGAGATCTTCTTTTCCTTTGTGCCTCCTCGACTGCCCCCCTCCGTGACTTGTCGTTCGGCCCCCTCTTTGTTGGCTTCTTGGCAACTCAGCCCGCGCTGACAAAGGCTGCCGGCTTCTGACGGGCAAGTTGCCATGAGCCTGGTGGGGCCCTTTGGGAAGGACGGCAACTCCCAATTGCTACGGATTGCCCGAGCACATGAAGACCGATCGAGCAAGGCGGCGGCTTTCAGCCAGGCAAGTGAAGCCCCTACACTGGCACCAAAGACGTCTGCTCCCACAATCCCAGTCAACCTAAATCAAGCTGAGAAACATCTCGGATCATTTTGACGGGCATGACTGTCGACGACTACTCCCCCTGTCCAGCATCGGAACAGAGCGGCCTGCCCCGGCGGCAGATGTGGTTCGGGTCAGGCGCAAGACGGGAAGGTTGGAGTTCTGCCTTTAGGTTGTAAAGAGCCATTTATTTACATTATGTGCAGTTGCATGTGCACAATCTGAGTACCCGTTGGAGTGGTACTCTGCGATTTTTGAGGCCTCGAGTCCCTAGGTGGGGGCACCGAACACTGCACACACTCATAGTCTCCAAAGCTGCGGCGAGGCTGCGTCGTCCTGACTGTCGCAGACTCCAGGAGTAACGGGACGACCTTGTTGGCATCGAATGCCTTTCCTCGACGCGCCGTCCGCTTTGGTCGTCCCAAGGGCTTTTTCCTCTTCGGCCCCTGCAGACAGCATCTTGGGAGTCTCTCAACCGGGAGGTGTTCCGTCGTTTCCTGGAGCTAGCTGGCTCGTCCCGAAGCCAGACCCCGTCGCTTTCGCCAGGACGTTCACGCGTTGGGTGCGTCCTCGCGTGTCCCGCCAGCCCTCAGCAGGTCCAGGTAGAGGGGCCGCAGCGCCTGCCAGCTGTATCTCTCGTGGTCCACCTGCACGGGGCGGGCATGCGGATGCGCATGGAGCAAACTTTGGTCTAGAGCAAACCTTGGCGCGACAAAGTAGCCTCGGAACAAGGTAAGGGAAGTTTTGAGAAATGCAGGTTAGGCGCAAATACGGTAGATTCTGCAGCCGTTCCGACTCGAGCTTCCCTGCTCTCCGGATTTTTAGGCGAAGGTGCCACTTTCCCAGCAACAGCGCTTTACACTGAACGGAGCCATTTTAAGAGGCACAACCGGTGGCAAGCGAGAAGCCTTTGGCGGGGGTAGAGCACTCGCCTGGGGCTTCAGCCGCCTGACGGCCGACGGCTTTCCGCAAAAGTTCCTCAGCTTCTTCACGAGCTGGTTGGTGGTGTTGTAGAGGCACTCCCCTGCCGGAACGCGCGAGAATTCCTCGATATGCACAGGCTGGGTGCACGGGCCCTAAGCGCACGGACCCTCCGCCGAACACTCACTCGGGAAGATCTCTGGGTAGACCAGCCTGTTGGGGCACAGCGGGAAGCAGCCCAGGAAGGTGGCCTCCAGCCTGCAACACGTAGTCCGCAGCTTCCACGCATCGCTCGAAACATTGCCTCATTTCCAGTGGCACTACTAAGCACTAATATCCCCAGTCATGGACACTGTACGTGATGCAGCCGCCGTAAGGTGGCTTCAACTCGTCGCTCCGCTCTCTTCTTGGCGAATGCGTTGCGTCGTGTTCATGTTTTTCGTGTCGGTTCACCGCAATTTTATGTCTCGCTCTGTAAAGTGTCGTTCTATACCGACCTTTACTACGTAATTTCGTGTCACTGGAAGGTGCACAACTTCTACACTTGATTTTATAGCACATTTTGACTATTGACATTGCTGGCGTACTGGATATATGTGTGTGGCGGCTAGAGGGGGCACACAAGTCACCTTTAGCACAGGCATACATCGACTATGTAGATGACTGTAATGGAAAATTTCCTTCGCAGGTCTGGAGTGGTTTTAAAGCGCTTCTTTGTTAGCACCTTAGATGTGAAAGTGCGTGCTTTCAAAAAAAAGAGAGTGGGCAGCCCCATTTCCTACAGTCGCGATATGGTAGCCGGTTTCATAGCTTAGCATGCCGGAGGCACCCATTCTGCATTTTATCTCTTGGCTGGCGCTTGGCTGGTCCAGCTCCCATCACCGCCAACTGCGTCTACGGCAGTGGTACTTAGCAGCTCACCGCAACATCCCTTCTCTACATTTAAGTTTTACTGGCAAGGGAGTGGAAGGGTACTTGCATGGCCACTCCAAAGAACTCGTGCCTGGCTGTGGAGACGGCCACGTGTGCCTTGGCCAGCAGGCCCAGGTAGGCCTCCCTGCTGTCCAGCCGGCCCCACTGCAGGATGTGCTCCTCCAGCTCGGCCCGGGCCCTCGAGAACACCTCTGCAAGCAGTCTCACTCTGCATGCGCGGGACAGGGTAACCCCGCAGGAACACTCGGGGTCCAAAGGGACTGTGCTGCTGGTTTCTCACGATACCAGGCACAATGTGGCAGATGTGGCTCGCCAGCGTCCACATGAACAGGTTTTAAGAGGCTGTGCTACATTTCAGTGGCAGAAAAGGAAAGTAATTGGAGTTTAGACTATCTAGTTTCAGTGCAGAGCAGACCCCTTGAGCTCTGAAAACGAGATGGGGAGAGCCTTGCATACGTAAGCTTCTCTAACAACATGCAATGTTGGTAGAGACAAGGGAAGAAAGCTGCCGGAATCAGCGTGATGAGCCCCATGCTTCCAAACAACAGTTCCAGAAGTTACTGTAAGGTTGTAGTCTAATGGCACCCTGCGTTTAAGGAGGACCGAATTCGTTTGTCCAGTACACCTGCTTGTGGCAGAGCCTTCTGGAAGCCAGCAATTTGTCCGCGTATAGCGTGTCTCAACATAACCACTCGGCCGACAAGCTCAATGGCAGTGTTGTCAAAAGCGATCGCATTTTAGGTTTGTAAAGGCCGCCGTAGCAGCAAGTAGAATGCTGGCTAGCCAGTGTTTGGCCATCCAAAAGAATGTGCAGCGAGAAGTGCAACGAGCTGCCTCGACCAACCCGAGACAATGGATCGAGAAGGCACGCACGGTGTCCCACTTTGCGCGGTGCCCAGGATTGCTCGTATGGCCGTACCTGGAACATCCGCGTAGCCCTCTCCCAAAACGGACACTCGGAAGGGGAGCCCCTCTGCCTTGAGCTGGAACAGGGCTTCAAAGAACTCCTCCGGGCCCTTGTCGTGCTCCCTGGGAAAAAAGGGGCTCTCTGCAGCTTCCTGGAGGCTTTGCAAAGGACCCCATGCACTGCCACAGCAATGCTCCTGGGGGAGAAGGGGGCCCCAATGCAGGCATCATACCCTAAAGGAGACCTCAATGAAAAAGATGAGTCACTCGCCCGCCCCCTGTGCCCACTGAGATTTGTGTTACTAGTACCTTGTTCACGGAGATGGAGGCCAATGAAATAAGGTTTAATCTGCGCCAATCAAGCATGCCTGCCACAAGGAATGCCATGTGGATGCTAGCACGGACTTTGCGTGATTTCTTTGTTCTTTTCCAAGATGGCGCTGACAAAGTTGTTCATGTCTTGCTGTAGCATTTATCAGCTTGAAGAGCACCAGCTACTCGAGTGAATTGGGCACGAATATCACTTGCCCCAGACAGCCAAGAGTTGGGACCTCTGTACATATTTTGAGATGCCCAGAGTCCATTGGTAGTGCCCTCAGTGGTGCATGTAATCCAGTGAAGTATGTTGCTGGTTATGGTCACGCCGAAAACAAAATGTGTGACTGTTTTCCGTTAAAGGGGCCCTGCAATGACTTTTTTACTAATTTTTAATTTGCACCGAACCTGAGCGCACTGAACGCAGTAACTTAGTGAAACTTTTCTTTTCTCGAAATTCGCTTTATTTTAAACGTTATAGGCAAATTAAAATTACAAAAACAAGGAAAAAATAACCCCCCTCGTGACGTCCTTGGTTGCTTGAGAGTGGCCGTGAACTCGAGGAGAAATAGTAAGCTCATCGAGCGCTCACGGCTGCCGCACTCCATGTCGACGGCGCGAGAGGGCGCCACTGAAGCGTGTTCTGGATAGGCTGTATGCAGCGGGGCACCCAGAGCGGATCTCATTGCATTTGCTGCCCAATTAAATACTAATTTGGCATGACACTTCATTGGCCACAAACGACAGCAAACACGGGGTAACGATCAGTTCAGAATGGGAGCTACTTTGCACTGCCATACCGCGAAACGGCCGAACCGCAAGACAAAGCTTCTCGCCGAAGGCCTTCGGAACGCTCGGAGCCGGTCGGATCCTCCTGCCCATACGACCGCAGCGCCGCCGCGTACATCCGGGACCTTTCCGGGTCGGCGCCTGATCCCACTACTCCTTCCTAATATGCACCGCCTTTTCCACCGCTTGGTGGCGGGTATGTCGATGGGTCATTTCTTATTTCCGTACTTCATAAACAGCAATTGTTTGTTTTCTGATCTAAAATACGGAACAAAAACTTGTTTTATAAATAACTGAAACGGTTCACGGCCACTTATATTTTGTATTTCGACTAAAAAGAAGCTTTTAGCGGCTCTGACCAGTAGTAAGCCCAGGACCAAAGACGTCACATTTTGCGCGTTTCCGGTACCGCGGGTCGCCCTCGTCGGTGGAGGAGGTTTCCGCGTCGTCCGGTTAAAATATGACGCACTGATATTTAGTTACTCTCTCCGTGCCCGCTGGCTTGCCCGAACCCCAAGAGACGTAGAAACCGCAAAAAAGGTAGACGCTCAAATATGATTGCAGGGCCCCTTTAAGTAAGCATCTGAAGCAGATGACAGTGATCAGCATGCAGATAATAATGAAGTATGAAGGAACAAAATGCACCCATTAGGTAGAGGAGAATGGGTACACACAGAAACAATGCTTCAAAAAGATGCTCTTTTCATATGTTATGACACGGGGCTCCTTCGAGATAGGAAAGGGACGTAACCGGCAGGGGTGGTCCGTGTCCGGGCTCACCATCGGTGGGGCCACACTATGTGCAGGATGTCTGGAAACTCGGGTGCCAGTGCCCTGGGTGCTGGCAGGTTCAGGGGGAAGTAGAGCACCGAGGCCTTGGCCCGGATGCGCTGGGACAGCGTCCCAGGCGGCGGCCGGCAGTCGGGCATCTGCCTCAGGAAGGGGCCCACTGCTCCGAGGAACGACTCCAGGTTGTGGCGCGAGTTGAACACCACCCGGTCCGCCACTAGGCTGCGACAGTACCCCGCAATGCTTGGTCACGCGACGTCCCCCGCTTGTCGGGGTTGGGTTAATAGAGTCTATTAACAGCCACTTACTACTATGGCCAACTCCACTAACAAAGAAGTTCCCGGTTAAGCAAATGCCCAGAAAGAGGACATCAGGTTGTGTTCAAACTTCTACATCTACATGTGTGTTTACCCACAATAAAGTGTCGAATATTTAAAACAGTATCACTCGTCGTATCTTGTGTTTCTTCAGTTCAGCATCTTGTTTCATAAGTGTTGTCTCAAACCTATCGGAATAACATTCTACTAATTTCCTCTTTCGGAAAATAAGGCACTTGCGCCAAGTTTTGCTGCGGACTCCAGCCTCGCGAGCCATATGACTCTGGCCAGATTTGACTCCCGTCCTACGGCAGGCCACAGTTAGCAATTGGAGTCAGAAGGGTGCTCATCCAGCGTCATCCACGGTAGCCAGGCAGCGAGCAACACCACAGCCGCCCGCGAGCAGGGGCTGTGCACTTCGGACTATGAGCTCGGTAGCGAGGAGTCCAACCGGACGTTGTGTCAAAGGGGAAGAAGACGACAAACGGACATGACAGCACCCAATTAAGAAACCGTGGCTGATGCACAAAATAAGAAAATGGGTACTGGTAGGAGCATGAGATGACATAAAAATACAAGTTTAGCAATGCAGTGTTCTTGGGAGACCAACGTGTCGCATAATGGGTGTCTTAATTTGAACCGAACAAACCAAGAACCCGTCCACGGCAGGAGTTGCGGGACACCCACCAGGAGAGGATTTGGTTGTAGCCGTACTGGAAGTCCCTGACACGGGGGTTGCGCACGGGATAGGCCAGCTGGTTCTCATGAAAGTAGACCACTTTGTGTAGTGTCTGTAGCCAGGGGCACAGCCCCAGCAGTTCGGCCAGAGGCACCACACTGCTGGCAAACAGCACCCTGCAGAGGGAGTGAAAGCCAACGCACTTCCAAATTTCAACACTGCAAGACTTAAAGACAAAGAGCCAGACAGCGTCACGAGAAAGCTTGCCAAAGGCCTTGTTTCGAGGCCCTAGAACGCTTTGTCACCCACACATGATCGCATGCTCACAGTTGGCAAATGTGTACACATATTGGACACCGCAGGTTTCCGTTCGACGTTTACTGTCACCATCGTGTTGCATCTCACCCCCGCCTTGGTACATTAACATTACGGGCAATGCCCAGCTTGCCCGTATGTTCTCGCAGTCAGATGTTGTTTAAGATGTTTGAATCAGTAGTTAAGTGAAAGCAAAATCTAATGCCTCGACCAACAAAACAAAAAAGAAAAACTTGAAGTGGTAGGAAAAGGCCAAAAGCTGCCACACCAGAAAACAATGGCAACACGTAGGTGAGAGCAACCTTTAGGTAATTGTAGGGTGTACTCCTTCCTTTTCCTCCGTGCCACCAGATTATGTCCTAGTTCCGCTTTTCACCGTTTTAACCATTTATTTTCAAAAAGAAAAAAAAAAAAAGAAAACTAGTGCGGACATTAAGTTGTTTGCTTCTTGCACATGGGTTTGGATAATGTGAGAACGCCAAGCTCTTATTGGCTAATTGAAGGATAGTGGGTAGACCTCGAGGCATCTAGCATTGAGCTCTACCTACTTTCCATCAAAGCCAATCAGGGCTCGGCGTCGTTCTGACGTCAACGCAACGAACGCGCAGTAGCAGCCCAGCGCGGGCTCACCTGTAGCTGTCCGAGGGCGGCACGTTCTGCGCGAGCCAGATCGCCGAGGTGCGTGCCCGCCAGTGCCACTTGCAGGCCGGCATGGTGACCAGCGTGCACTCATCCTTCAGCTCGCTCGCCAGAAGGTCCGCCAGCTGCTTGTGCGAGCCGCCGTAGAAGGGCTCCATCATCAGGATCGACATGACCCCCGATGAATTCTCTCTTTTGATTTAGCGCGACACTTCGAAGACGGCTGCGGTCATTTCACTACGCTTGGAACGTTAGGAATCACCGTGCTTGGAATCGTTCGAAGCGTTCGTACGGTTCGAAGTTCGGATGGACATCTTGACTCGGATTGGCTTGAACAGTGAATCGAGTAAAATACGACTGGTACGACACTGCGTAGCCACCACTTAGTTTCGGTTTCGATTTCCAATGCGGAGAGCGCGGAGACTGCGGAGAGCCAGTCTGCTTTTTGAGTTGCGGTGACATCAGAACGACGCGATAGTGGGTGGACCTCAATGCCTTGAAGTCCACCAACTATTTTTATTTAAATCAGCCAATGAGAGTTAACAATAAAAGAAGCTGCAGGTATACTCTAACCAACTGCCCAACGTTTCGCGGCCTGCTTGTTCACGGGCGACTTATTTGGCTGGCTGTTCGTCTCCCTCTTCTCGTTGTCGCTGCCGTCTAAATCCTTTTCTTTAAACGGCAGCGACAAGGAGAAGAAGCGAAAGAGAACGTCGGGCTACACAGTTGGTTAGAGTACCTGCAGCTTCTTTTACTGATACTCATCTAACCAGGCAGATTTTTGCCGAAATGTTTTCTTTTCAGCCTCGGTGTTCTGACATCATCGCAACCCCTGTGCAAGAAGCAGGCGAACTTGCGCTCCTATTAAAATCTTAAGGACGTCATAAATTATTATCTGGATGGGCTAGCTACGAATTGTTTCCAGTGTTGAGGAGCACATGAAATATATGAACAAAATTCATGTCGGTACGTACTTTTCCAGAAAAGTACAGCTACCGACTTCAGGGTACGGGGTGTCACAAAAGAAAATTTACACGGTCTTTTTTACCGCAAAAATCAACTAGGCATCTTTGAACGCTCATTCTCCGCCCAAAGGTATCGCTAGAGGTCACAACCAGATGCCAAAGTTTCAGCCCGATCCGATAACTTAATCAAAAGTTATGAGTGATTTTATGAAAATTTCAATGAGAAAATGGCCGCCGACGGGGTTTTCAGACACATGGGGCTCTATGGCACCAGAAACCGAAAATGGGCTCCATTTTCCCATTGAAATTTTCAGAAAATCACTTATAACTTTTGATTAAGTAATCGGATCAGGCTGAAACTTTGGCATCTGGTTGTGACCTCTCGCTCTACCTTTGGGCGGAGAATGAGCGTTCGGCGACGGCTAGTTTATTTTTGCGGTAAAAAAGACCGTGTAAATTTTCTTTTGTGACACCCTGTACATTCCCCAAATTTGGTATAGTTAAATTGGTATCGCAAGATGGTGCTTTGTTAACTGTGAAGCCAGTTGACTTAACTCAATATTTGCTGCAATTTCCGAAAATTAAGTGGCGCACCCCCAACCACCCCAGGGACAACACACTAAAAAAACACTGTATACGGGAATGAAAGGGTATCATGAGAGTTTAAAAGTACCTGCACTTTACCTTGAAAGGACATAGTATTTCTAGTACTTCAAGTACATTGCACCTGATGTTACTACTTTACTTGAAACTTTACTTTACATAACCTTTAATTTACTTTGTTCGATGTACTTTACCCAACGCTGGCTGTTTCTCAAGCACACAGAGCACAAGCAGGTGCACAGGGGCATGCACACTGGCCATATTTGCACTGTCTGCCACACAACCAAATGTAGCAGGAGCACTTATTCAGGAAAGAGGGCAGGCTCCGACTTCCCTTTAATCCTTCAGTATCACATCTCGTCAGTTCAACTTACCATTTAGGAACAGGGACACTGCTCAAGTGAGGTGGACATGAACGGTACTGTGTCCTTATGCATGCATGCTAAAAAATGACATTTACAAATCTCTGTAATGCGAAAATAGAGTGCAGCCCTTGAGGAGGAGGAGGGGGAATGGAGGGGAAGGCATGCCCCTCCATACCCTCCCATCCTCTTCCCTAACCCGCTAAACTTAGTGGGAAAAATTTTCCCGGTAAATTTAGCAGGAAAATATCCCGGCTAAATTTAGCAGGGAAATTGACGTTACGTGACCTCAACACCAATTCAGTTTCCCCGCTAAATTTAGCGGGGAAAACGACATCACACGACTTCGTGTCAGGCCACCCACAAACAAATTGTTTCTCCGCTAGATTTAGCGGGAAAATTGACGTTGCATGATTTCAATAGCAACTCAATTTTCCGCTAAATTTAGCGGGGCAATTATGCCGACGCAGCAAAACGAGGAAACGGACAACTAAGATTTGCGCTCTAAAAACAAAAAGAAAACATAGGCTGATGCAGCTTCATCCAAAGTGGATTACAGATCAGCATTTGTAGTTATTAAGACAATGTCCTTGGTTTGCTTTCATTCCAAGGAACTAGGAACAGCTTGGTAGATAATGGAACAATAGTCAAAGCTGGGTTTAAGACGTTGCCCGGTTTTTTTTTATCTGTCTTCCGTCGAGTTTTCCTTTTCCTACCCGACTCAGGTTTACCATCATGTTCACGGTACATTATGTTCACAACAATAAATACCAAGCACACACAAACCATAAAAGAGAAAGATGAAAGGAGATGATGCCAGAGAGCTTAGTGGTCTTGGTTTTGAGAATAGATGGGTGCACAGGGACAATAAAGTAGTGTTCCAATGGAATAAGGCATCCCTTTAATATGCAGTTCCTGCCATATGTTCCCCAAGCTCCTCTATGACGTCTTGGAACTGCAGTGCAGTGAGAAAAGCCCGGCTCCTACTCGGCCTTCCTGAAGCAGGCAATGAAGAAGCCTATGGTGTCCCCGTTGTAGTCCTGGCTCTCCGGCCACACTTGCTGACCTTCGAACCTCTGGACGAGGCGCCGCTGGTCGTCGTCCAGGCCCGCTCCAGCCCGACCCACACCACCCAGGTGGGGCTCCTGGAAGGATGAGATTTCTCATTCTTCGCCATAAGCAGTAGAATGATTGCTGCGCTAGCTTCTTTTCTAGCCATCTTTCGAATGTTGGGTTCTTCTTTTAATCGTGCAGTTTCAGAAAAAACACAAAAAATATATTAAAACAAATGAAAACAACACGCGCGACTACTGGACACTTGGAAGGACCTTTGCTTCCCACGACGTCCTCCAACACTGACCTGGGGAACGAGACGCAGCTCAGGAAACCGCGCCAAAGCCCAGGCAACAATGGCCTCATTCTCGGCAGTGGTCAGCGTGCACGTGCTGTAAACCAGCGTTCCCCCAGCCTTGAGGAGCCGCACAGCCTGGGAAAACAAGCATTCCAATCTCAGAAGTTGAGCAATTTCATAAAAACACACAAACCATTCCTATCCAAATCCCAAAATATAAAAAAACAACCCCCCCCCCCCCCCCCTCCGAAAAAAAAGGAACACTGCTTTTTTTTTTTGTGAACTACTACTCCCCCCCAAAATTGTAGAGAGGCATGAATGTTTGAAAATTTTAATACATTGCACGAATAGTGTTTTGCTACCCAATTTTATTAAAAGCCCACAGCAACTATATGAAGTGATGTTTTTGAAATATTTAAAAATTACAAATAATCTTCAGAAAATGTCCGCTTTCTTGGGTCAAGCTTCGCTGCACCGCACCAGAGCCGTACACAGAGAGAGTTTGGCCATTCATTCGGAAGCGTAGGATGCAAACGAGGAGGCGCCATTGGCCAAAAGCGGGCCGGGCGTGTTCCGGGGCGTCTTCACAGATTCGAACGTGGCCAGCTAGAAGCTGCAAATAATACTCTGGCGGTGGTCGCGAGGAACAAAATCAATAAGAGCGTAGGAGTAACTGTCAGTGACTGAAAATATGGCGCACATGATATTTCGATCACGGTCATGCAGAATCAAAATTTAGGAGAACGATCGACGTGATCTGTACGCCAGGCGCCGAGGGCCAAGAATATTCCGTCGGGGCCTCGTCCAAGCAGTCAGACTCCGTCCGAGAAAAACAGAGTTCAGGCGGCACATTCGATTCATACATCTACCGTATTTACTCGAATAATAGCCGCACTGTTTATGAAGAAAACCTGAGGGTTCGCTTCTCCGCGGAGCATGCGGCTTGCCAATCACCAAGATCGGCAGCACGATTGCAGCGGTTTACAGGACAGAGATATCGTCTTGGCGCTTAGATACCATCTGTGAAGATTGCATTGGTATGGAGAATCGTGTTCTCGATGTGGTTATTCGCTATGTTATTTATGCGCAACGTAATGATTGGGTGTATATCCGTTATGTTTGAAAGTAGTTGGAAGGGCCTTGTTCATAAATAGTGCGGCTATTACTGGAGTAAATACGGTATTTGCATCACCATAATCGAAACATCACGCGCACTATACTTTCAACCATGAAGAGTTACTCCATTAAACTCTTACGCACTTATTTCAAGTGTTTCTCGCTACCACCGCTAGGAGACTCTTTTCGGCGTCTGGTTGGCCAAGAGAGCACGTGAAGCCTTCCCTCTGCGTCTCGTGCACGTCCTGGCTCTGCCCTCTCCTCCCATCGACCAAACTCTCTCTATATACGGACCTGCTCTGCACCAGGCTCTGGTGTCAAGCTTCACCCCGTTGCGTGCACATCAAGCTTTGTAGTACCGTTAAAATTTGGACGAGTTGGCTATGTGCTGAGAAACTAAAACAGCACGAAAATGAGAAGTACACAAACAGAGCACGGACTGACGAGCGTTGTCAGGCAGCGCCCCGTCTGTGTAGTGCACCAGCTTGTCCTTCGGCCGTCTCTGCACTGTTTTTAGTTTTCTAACGCACGAACCTCCACTGCTTTGCACCGCCCCTTTGTGCACCCTAATAGCCGATTCACACGACGGACCAAATCGCGATTTTCGTCCGCGGACCGTGTACCACGTGACCGGCACGTCACCGATTCCTGCGGTCTGCGCCTCCTCCGCGGAGGCGCGGACTGATAAAGTCGAACGCCTTTTTCACTCGCGGACGTTTGGCGGCAGACTGACTTGGAAAGCATTTAGTCTGGCAACGGTAGATGGTTTTCTTGGTATTTTGCTTCTGTGCGTTCAAAACAAAAATGGCGCGTCGTTGCGTTTTGTGCGTTTGTTGGTTCATTTTGTCGTTCGATTCTTGGTTCCACGCGTGAGAGAAACTCCAGAAACTTTGTCCGGCTGACGCGGCGCAGGTCCCGGTGCTCCTCCGGGTCCGTGTCAAGAAGCTCCCGTCAAAACTCGTCTATAGCACGCCGCGATAATTCTTGCACGTCCAATCAGGATTTCACCGAGCAAGCCCTCTCTTGTGGATGTGGTGTGCTTGAGTGTTGTGCACGAGCGCGGAGTGTGTGAAGGCATCTCCAAACGCCCCTCCGCGAGCCCAGAAGTTCGTCGTGTCTACGCCGAAGCTTTCTCGGGCAGGATCATGCCTGTGTCACTGTCATGCTTTGGGTTAGTAAAGTTAGTGGCGCTTCGCGCGAAGCCTGTCCCGGTGTTTTGTTCTCGATCTGTACGTAGCAGCGGCGTACGATTCTTTATCGCGGTAGCAACCGTCGATTTCTTTCTTGGACAACGGTGCTACTGTGCGATGTGGGAGTTTCGCAGCACTGTGGGGTGCTAACAGGTTCGGTCCGTCCTCACTGGCGTCTGCTCGTCGTCTCCCTCGTGTGGATGCGCTTGGGAGACGGACGAACCGCGGATATGTCGTCACATGATCAATCCGTCCGCGGATCAGTCCGTCGTGTGAATCGGCTATAAAGGGGAGCTCTGTCAATCTTTTGATGGACACCGACTTTTGTAAAACTTACTGCGTGCATTACATATATCCTCCGGAGCATGTCCATACAATATCTTGACAAAATTTTCATTTTCTGGTGAGAAAAATGATTTTAAAGTTTACGCGCTCGCACTCTATCGCTGGTACCTACTCTATTTGCAACACTGGGCAAGAGCAGCGTGTGACATTCCAGTCACAAAAAGGAATTTAGAGGATTGGAGGAAAGGATCTTGGGAAGTGTTCAAGCACAAAATTTGGGTTACGCGCTTTAATGGGGGGCGGAATTTTGAGGCTGAATCTTTAAATGAGGGGTAAAAAAGATTTTAGGCAAGGGGAAGCAAGATAGACCTCAATACACGATAAAATAGAAAGCGCCCAAGAAACAAGGACGAAAAAGAGAGGACACGTACGACAGACAACCGGCAACTGAAGTTTTAGTCAAACTTGGGAAAACATGAAGATAGTTCCTTTTGCCGGCTATTCAATTATCACCCCCTTCACCAGTTCTAATCTACAAAATGAAGGAACTTTTTCTGTTAGCACCCACCATAACGTGCGCGTGACACTGTTGCAGATAAGAATGCTTCCTGAGCATCTGTCAAAGAAAGTGTCGGGTGACTTACGCAGCCATTGCCCCAAGTTTTGATAATAAAAGCCTTTACAACCTCCCTCCCTCTCTGCTCCTTAAATTGTCCTTAAGTATTAGTGTCTTTAAAAATAGGAGCAGATTCGCACCTGCTGCGGTGGACTGCCAAGCGCTCAGAAGGAGTGTTACAAAGAGAGTTGCACTGCTCCCTCAGTCTATCATTAAACACGACGAGGGAAGGCAGTTGGGCGACATTTCAGCATCTTACGAACGAAATGTCCTTCAGACCGACCGTGGATAGGGGTGATCTGGCATGTACAGTCTCCGGCGATATGAAAGACCCACTGGGAGCGCGTGGCCGAGGCGGTGGCTGGCAGGGGCGCTGCGAGCGCTCCGGGCAGTTCCGTTCTGCTTCGAGGGGATTACGCTCACTCGGGGCTCAGCTAAAGCGCGCGCTTATCAGATTGTGCTGAGCCCCGAATGAGCGTCCTCCCCTCGAAGCAGAATGGAATTGCCCGGAGCGCTCATAGCGCCCCCGCCAGCCACTGCCTCGGCCACGCGCTCCCAGTGGGTCTTTCATATCGTCGGAGACTGTACACTGGCCCCCGACTAGAGCAAACCAACAAGGCTCCGGCCCCTTCCCGTCAGAATGCTCTGCAAGTTTATAACTACAGTAGGCATGTATTTCAGACGGAAGGGCATACCTACTTTGCTCTGGGCATCGCAAATAGCAGAAAAAAGGGAAATGTAGGAATGTACTTTGGCTTTTTAAACAGCACCCTGGAATAACAGTGTGGGCTGAAACTGGCTGCCGAGAACGTTGACTTTGGAGGACATGCTAATCCTAACTAAAAAATATATTAAAAAAAAAAAGTTTTTTTTTTTATTTAAATAAACTCTGCATTGTTGTATGCTCATCTCCACCCAAATGTAGCGCTAGTGGTCCGAACTAGATGCCAAAGTTGTAACACTAACTGTTATATTAGACGATTTTGTAAAATTTTCAATAAAAAAATGGGACCCATTTTTGCCCGTTTTCCGGTAACTGGCACCATAGAGCTCCACGTATTCGAGAGCTTTGTCGGCCGCCGATTCCCCATTCAAAAATTTAAAAAAAATTGCTTAACTTTTGAAGGTGCGGTACCTGGAACGTGGCTCCTTACCGCGTCCAAAAAAGTAGTGCCTCCATTTCTGCCCGATAACATCGTAGAAGTGTGTCGCTGCTTGCCATTCTGGCAGCACTTACGACAGCAGCGGACGTGCCAGACGCCCCTTCTGGCGCAGGTCGCTCTCCAGCTCGACGGTTCACTAACGATTCGGCGGCCCAGAGTTGGGACGCTGCGACGACAGTGACACTCACTTTCCCTCCTGCTTCCCATCAACATTTCTACAACCAACCACCAGGATGGCAACGTCCAACAGCGTGACCCTCCCGCTCGTAACTGCGGTGTCATTCGTTGCCACTTGCGGACACTTGGGATGGCGGGACGCGGCAGTCGGAGCGGGCGCTCTACTCACGCTGTCGAGGAGGGCCCTCTGCTGGGGCGGGTAAGAGCGCAGCTGGCCGGCCGTCTGGCGGCACACCAGCAGGGGGCGCTGGCCCAAGCCGCTGCAGGGCGCGTCCAGCAGCACTCGATCAAAGCGCTCCGGGAGGTCCTGCGCTGCACCGCACAACCACTCGCTCAACGCCTGCATCGCTCTCCGACAGAAGCGTGTGCGCACATTGTGTGCGAGTCGCAATTTGCAGACGGCAAAGCGGCGCACGTCAATAATCGGGCCAAAGTAATTCGGGTAGAGTAGCGAGTGGCAGCGGATATCTCGTTTTTACTTTTTTTTCCATAATTTCGAGGATAACCTTTTTTTATTCAAAGTCGGCAATCTTTGTGTCTCTGCAACTATCCAAAGATATTTGCTCAGAAGCCGGCAGATTGTGTGAGAGCGTCGTCAAGCTGCCATGCTAGCGAGCTACTCGAGCCACACTCACGAAAAATGTCGGCCAACTCGTGGCCCAGTCGGAAATGTCGTAATAAAAAAGAAAAACAATGCAAAGACGAGGACGAACTGAAAGGTAATTGACAGGACGCAGCGCTGCGTTCTGTCGGTTACCTTTCACTTTGTCCTCGTCTTCGCGCTGTTTGTTTTTAATATGTCCGTATACCAAGAAGCCCCCACTTCGACGTTAGGAAACATAACCATTGCCGATCATGGGTCTCTTTGACTCCCTGGCCAAGCATGACTGGTCATTGCAACCACCAATAAGGTTCTAAACAGCACTGTGCGACGTTTACTACGAGACTCAGGTTTCACAAGTGCCGCCTGACAGTTTGAAAATGTTCCGCCCAACGATGCCGTGTCATGTGCAGACACCTCGGTGCAAGAAGAAACCCCGACACTTGGGCCCTCCCTGCGCAAGGAAAGCCGAAAACTAGAGATGCGCAAATATCAAATGTTGGACTGCAAATTGAATATGAATATTGAAATTCGACTGCAAATCAAATTCAAATACTTTAGTTCACAATATTTTACATTTAATGCGAATGGAGCCTCGATACTTGAAGAAATCGCGACGGGAAATGTTTTCTAGAAAAGACATTTACGAAAAGGAACAGCTTTATTGCAGGAAAAACGCTTCACATATTTGTATATAGAAACAAAAAAAGGCCCCGATACGAGATGGGTAAAACTTAACGTAATGAGGCAAGCGAAGCAAAGGCCACCTTATGTATTTGAATGTAGCTCGAGGTTTACTCCAATCAGGTGTCGAACTATCGCTATAACAAAAAGGAGGAGGACTTATCGTAGCAAGAAAAATGTCCGAGACCACTGAGATGCTCCGACTAAAGCCTCTCGGTATGTTTGCTTGTCTCACTAGTATTAGACTGGTAATGTGGGCGAGTAGGTTCATGTTTAAGGAATATAACGGCGCACAAAACCACAAAGACGGGCAATCACTGGACGAGCGCTGATCCTTCTTCTCTCCAGTCCTTGTTTCATCTACATCTTGGTAGTAGTGTCAAATGCACTATGAGGCCCGTAACCGTGTAGCCCTTGGAAGCAAATGGCGGCACAGCACTCGCTCCAGGCACACCGCATTCTCACAAAAATGCTCGTGGGGGCAGAAACGCCAGGCGTGAACTTTATCGAGCGGCTTTAGCTCTCGCATGTCAGCCATTTTTCCCAGCACTCCGGTGCAAAGCAGTCAAGTTTGATGCACATCTGTTAGTGCAACACCAGAGCGCCGCTGCAAAAAAAGTCAAGCTTAGTGCGAGAAATCTAAGAATTCTTTACGAGTTACTTTAAAGTAAAAGTGTGCTGTGAATCAAAATGAATAGAAAAAGTTTTTGCAAATTATTCCAAGTTCCAAATTATTTGCACACTTTTACTGAAAGCATGTCACCACCAGCCAATCCAATGGCCTTGGCCCGCAATGCTCTCGTGCCTGCATCTTATCCAGCACTTCGCACAATGCGCTTTGGGCAAAGTCAAAGAAACGAGCCGGCAGGGTTTAGGTGCCGTGCCTCCAAACGCTCGCGCAACTCCGACGCAGTGGAATTGCTAGTCGACGGACAGGATTCCACCTCCGGCAGTTCCAGACTGGACTGTTGTTGCAGCAGACGCTCTCCTTGTAGTCGGGCGTGCAGGGTGCACTCGGAGACCCCGGGTCGGGGGCACGTGCACCGGCTAGACGACCCTTCCACGGAGGCGGGGCCCCCAAGTTGAGGTCGGGCTCCACGCTCTTTCTGCCGCAAGGCAGTTACGACATGTCACCATACTCATTTCTAACTTTCTCGCGCTACGTTGTCTAAGGCTAGCAGTTTCCACACTGCCGCAGCCCCGCATTGCTGCGAGAGTCTCTTCCTCTCGTGTCTCATTTGTACGAGTTCTTGGCCGAAGGAGACGCCAAACAATGCCACGTGCCCATGCATGTAGCTTCCACAGCTTCGCAGCACCAAAAAAACGACGCTAGCCTCGACGTTGCGGAAGAGAAAAGTTGACGCGGAGTATAGAAAGCGGGGCCGCTCGCAGAACCCACCGGTGGCACGCAGGCCTTGGTAGTCGTTGGCGTCGTGCGCGTGTGCCCGCACGCAGGACAGCCCCCACAGGTCGCAGAGGGCCCTCACCCTGGAGAGCCGGCTCTCTGCACGGTCCAGGGCCACCAACAGTCCCTGCACACGGGCAGCCGCCCCATCGCGTCGGTCCAGACGGGAGAGCCACAACCGCCCGCCCCGTGGCACCCTCCAAGCAACCGTGTCATCCACTCGTCGCTCAGCCGGGTAACCACGAGGAGCCCCAGAAATGAATTTTAAAATCTGGTTCTGGAGGTGGCTCAGCAGAAGGTCCTACTGGCTCGCATCAGGTCTACGATGGCAGCTGCGAGCCCGCAGAGCCACCCGCTAAAAATCGGCACTTACAAAACTGAGCGATAAAATGCGCAAATAGCATTATGTCGTTTTGAGAGGGTACAGCGGCACTAGGTGGTCTCTAGCCACTTATTTTAGTATTCCTTACAACTTCAAAGATCTGCTCAAACACCTTTTTTATGTTATTAAAAAGGTGTAGGACAACAAAAAATAGTGTCCTCGTATTAACCCGAAAATTTGATACGCAAAAACAACTTAAGTGAAGCAAAAAAAAAAAAAAAAAGAGAAAAAAACATTAAAGAGCCACTGACACCCAAAGGTCATATTTTTTTTTATTGTCTAAAACGATGCAAGTTGTAGTCCTAATCACGCAAAAAAATACCGCATCTAAAAAAAAAACGTTCCTCTCGCTTGCGCGCACCTTTTTATTTTTGTTGTTTTTTCCTCCCACTCCTCACCTCCTTGCCTCTCCTCAGAGCCTCCATGCACATGTTTCGGTCTTGGTTTCGAGCAGTTGAATATTTTGACTTTATTAAAAATATACATAAGTAGTAGATTGGGGTTTTGTGGCGCAAAAGCAACAAAAAAAATATACATAACTCTGCAGCAAAATATTGATTGGGTAGGTAGTTTTCTGACACCATACTAAATCGCATGGCAAAAAATTGAAAATCGTTTTGTAGCTAGCTACACTGGCCAAGGTTGAGCAGTTTCACCTGGCTCCTGCAGAGCTGTGCTGCGCATGCGCAAGGAGCAGTGACGTCACACGGCGCACAGCTGGCGCACCGGAGACGCCGCGCTTGCCTCGCAGGTCTACGCATTCCAGAGGAGTGACGTCATAGCCGCGGCAGATGCACCGGTGCCGACGCGTGCCCAGCTGTGCGCCTCCGTTGCGCAGTAGCCAAGTCTGACGCTGCGCCGGAGCCGCTTGATAGCGCCTCTCATTTTGTGCGCATGCGCAGAGGTATCAGTGGGAATAGACATATAGCGGGGCGTTTGCCAGTATGGTATAGCCATGGAGAAGGAGAGCGAAATTGCTGCTCAGCAGCCAAGAAGAGCGGAGAGGCTTAACTCATCGAATCCCGGAGCAGTTGCCTGGCAATTACATAATGCGTATACTGTGTGTGTGTCATTGAAGCAGCAGTGAGCATGAAAATCAAGCTAATCCTAGACAACCAGGAAAGCCAAGAATAACCAGCTAAACCATAGCTCACGCTACGTATATCCTGGCATAGCCGAGCTAAGCCACTGCAATTTTTTTAGGGGGGGGGGGGTGTCAGTGTCTCTTTAATTAAGCCTCGAAAGTGTGCGTGGCAATGCTGGAATAGGTGCCATATACCGAAAATGTTTCTCCTAACGTTGGAAAAGTCGCAAAGCGTTTATGCTCGGTAAGAGGCGAGCTCTTCTATTAGACTGGTTCCCCACAATAGTCAGTCACAGGTTAAGAAATGTTTTCGAGGGAAAGGAAGGCCCAGGAAGCGGACAGAACGCTGGAGAAAGGAAGGGGTTTCCTTCTCACCAGCATTTCGTTTGTTTCCTCCCACCAGCCCTCCTTTCTCCCTCGAAAACTTTTCTTAACCTGTAACCGACTAAAGCACCGAATGGTGACTAGAACAGTGCGTTTTAACGTGTCCTACTGCCCACGCATCCCAAGCGGTCACAAGGCAGCAACAATTTTGCTGCAGGATCCCATGGCACATTTGGTCACTCGTGATCCTGGCAGCCGATGCCGGCTCCCGAAGAAGGCGAGCGGACAGAAGGGTCGACGTCGTCGTGGAATCCCACATCGCGGCCTTTTGCCAGGCGTTCGGCCACACTGCAACCCGCGCCAGGGTGGGCATTCGCCGCACTCACCCCTGGTGCTGTGCCACTGCCAAGATCGCGGCCGGACCAAATGTGCCAGGGGTGAGGGAATCGAGGAACCAAAAACAAGGAAGTGTAACCAGTTGGAGATGCGTTCCAAGCACCGTGTCAAGAGTGTGGTGCAGTTACACTCCATTTCATCTCGCGTCCGGCCACAGTGGACACTACGAGCCAGCCAATCCAGCTTCGTGAACGTAGCCCATGGCCACGCTTTTCGCGCGTCACGGCGCTTCCTCTCAAAGATTTGCGCGGCCCCGGATTGGCTTCGACGGCTCGTGGCATCCGCCGTGGCCGGTCGCGAGGCAAAGCAGAGTGTAGCCCCCGGGAAAGCTCTCCCGTAGCGCGACGGGACGCTTCCGGACCGCAGACACCTATGCGCCGTGGTGCAGGGTGGCGCAGCACCGTGTCGTCCATGAGCGTGGCCAGGTGGGTGGTTTTTCCCCCTGGAGCGGCGCACATGTCCAGGACGCTCTCTCCCGGCCGGGGGCCCAGTGCCCGGCCACACAAGACGGAGGGCAGGTTCTGCAGCAGCAGGGTTTCGGTCATCAGGCCGTTGAGCGGGGGGCAGCCAAACAGGGGCTCCGTCATGCGCACCGCCACGCCCCTGCAGGGTCCCGGCAGGGATGGCAACGAAACGCGGCAAATCCTCAGTTCCAGCACTGGAGGTCCCGAGAGAAAGAATGAGAAAGAGACGGAAAAGCGAAAGAACAGAGCCGACAACACGTGAAACATATATTCTCTTTTCCCCGACGAGTCCAAGTTGTTTGAGTGCTTGTCAACTTTCAGAAATTTTCATACAAAGTGCAATGCCGGTGTCTTTCTGCAAAGTAAGCTAGAAAACAACTAGGCACGGACCTTACAGGTGACGTTTTGCTGCTTCTTTGTGCATATTAAGGTGTCGCCAGCAATACGGGCCCATCCGGGCCATCCACTGGGACCTCCGACGTCCATGTCTATGCCCCGCCAATTTGAAGCGGCCGAAATGCATGGGATCTTTTCTTCTAGAATATTATAATAAAGTCAACTTCCGTTAATTCGACCTTCACGGCACGTGTGAAATTGGGTCTAATTAAAAGATGCGTGTAAAATTCAGAATATCCAGCACTTTAGAAGAGGTGGGCTCAGATATTTGTAATGTGGCAACGGCCATGTACGTTTTTTGCGCGTTTGGTGTGGCGGCAGCAGCAGTGACTGGCAGCAGGCGCTGTCTCCGCCGGTGCCATTGCAACATTGCCCAGGAACAGCGCTCGCTCCTTTGCAGCGCTGTTGCAATGGTTGTTTTGAGTTGAGACCCAAACGTGTCCTGTGTCTCAACATGCACTCTCTTTTTCTTTCTCCGCAATTCGGCGCGCGCTTCAAAATTGGAAAACAGGTTTTTTCGACGACGAGGGCGGTTGACTGCTTACCGCGTAATTCGGAAAAAATGGCCTATTTTTGTGCTTCACGCACGTCAATCAAGCTTGTAATTTGCCTACTGCCAGTTCTCTCAAAGTCATATTAACCAATATTTTATATTTCAAAATCAAAATAATTAGTTTTTTTCTATACAAATATATGAACTGTTGCCAGGACCTTTGAACAGGGTAGAATTAAACGATAATTCTCTATGCCGGCAGGCGCCGAGGAAAACGGGGCGGAGCCGTCAAGGTGGTTACGACCGTACGATGCACTCTTTCTGCATTTTTGCCAGTGCTTCCTGCACACTCAGCTGGTGCTCGAACGATTACTTTCCCAGCATTCTGAATGCGGTACCTCCGGATCGAGCCAGATCTCGATGCGGAGGCACCATATCCCCCAAAACTTAGATTTTTAGCCTTGCGGGTTAATCGATACGTGAGTTAAAGTTAATAATTTGATAAATTATCTTGAAACTAATGACTTCTTCACAAGTTCACAAAATGGCTTTAGAAAACATTTTTCATGTGAGACGCAACTACTATCATTCACGCATGATCTCCATAATTCTCTCGATAATCAAATTGAAACCGAGTGTGTTTTTTTAGATTTCTCAAAAGCCTTTGACAAAGTTTCCCACAAACTTCTTTTTCATAAACTACAATCACTGAACATTGACTCCTGTATATTAAATTGGATTCATGCCTTTTTAACTAACCGCCTACAATTCGTTACAGCTAATAATACAAATTCGTGTACTGTTCCAGTAACCTCGGGCGTCCCACAGGGATCAGTGCTTGGTCCGCTCCTCTTTCTTATTTACATTAATGATTTGGTGCAGAACTTGTCGTCTTCTATTCGCCTCTTTGCTGACGATTGCGTAATCTACCGGGAAATAACTGACATATCTGACTCTATTCTTCTACAATCTGACCTATTGTATATCACTGTGGTGTAACCAGTGGCTAATGGAACTTAACACTAACAAATGCAAATCGATGAGGGTGTCACGTGCTCAATCGGTGTGTCATACTTATCATCTAAACAATAATCCCCTCGCTTCAGTGTCTGTTTACAAATATCTTGGTGTTCATATAACTTGTAACCTTTCTTGGAAGATTCATATTGAATACATAATTAACAGTGCTAACCGTATGTTAGGATCCTTAAAAAGAAATTTTTTCCTTGCTCCGTCTTCATTAAAACTAACCATGTACAAAACCCTATGCCGTCCAAAATTAGAATATGCTGCTGCTGTGTGGGACCCCGCTCACTCGTCACTAATTGCTCATGTTGAATCCATCCAAAACCGCTCAGCTCGTTTTATATTGACAAACTATCATCGCACTGCCAGTGTTACTACCATGAAAAATACTTTAGGTCTGCCGTTACTAACTCACCGCCGAAAAATCTCTCGTTTGTGTCTTTTTCATAAAATATTTCATCAAAATGTTACCCTTCGTCATAAACTAATAACTCCACCATGCTACATATCTGCTCGCATTGATCATAGCCATAAGGTTGGTATTCCAAATTTTAAAACTTCATTATTTCAATATTCTTTTATGCCACAAACATCTATAGACTGGAACCACCTTCCCGCCTCAATTGCTAACATCACTGATATTGTTATGTCTAAAAATGCTATTACTAATATGTGCACTTTATAGTTTATATTTTACAGCTCTCTCCCCTCTTCAATGTACTTTTACCTTGAGGGTATTTGAAATAAATAAATAAATAAATGACTGAAACTTGCTCGTGAATTGGCTCCTCTCACGCTCTTGGATCAGTGCGAGACTTCCCGGGTGATTTGGAGACGTGCTTCCAAAACTTTATTTCTAAAATGCAGCATCGTGTGCGCGACAAAATACAACTACAGTCTTTGGAAACAAAATCGCCGTGGGAGAACACCTCGTACAGAAAGCATTTCACCTCATTTGGTTAGCTGGGCACCTGAGCGCTAAAGACAGGTGTCTCGCGTGATTTGGCACCAGCATTCTATCCTTTGTTTGCCTACGACATACCAAAAAAGTGCTCGCTGAAGTGGTCAAAGCATCGAGGAAGTGCCTCTCGTACGTCGCATTTAACGAAGCAAAAGCCCACTGGTTCCGAACGTACTGCGTGTGTCGAACGAGGGTGGAACTGAACGCCAGACCGGCTGCTCCTAAGCATAGGGCCGCAATGACAACATCTCGGAAACTGCTGGTTTCGAGCAAAAGAACAGATGCCGGCCTGAGGCAACTTCGGGATCTGCCCTAGTTCTCCGTTAGTGTTTCGATTCTCTACAAAAATACGAACCAATAATTTAGAACCCGAGGGCCTCAATCGGACGCCACCAGCGTAGGTGCCAAGAGGGTAAAGCGGCTTCTGCCCAGCCGCCGGGGCTGCAGTGGGGTTCACCTGGCCAGCTGGGAGACGAAGATGTCCCTCCTGGAGACGAGGGCGGTGCCATTGCCCAGGAAGGCCCTCTCTCCCCGGTAGGGCCGGGCATAGCCCCGAAGGCAGGAGCCCTCCAGGTCGGCAAACACCGCCACCCGCTCGCCGGCCTCCAGTCCTGGGGAAAGGAGGACCAAAGACGGCGATCGAATCTCGGTTGAGGGCCCTAAAATCCAAGACTCTACCCAAAGTCTTTTTTTGGGAGGGGAGAGCGGCTGTCACTGAGAAAAGACTGCCGTAACTGACCACTTACAGTGACCTGTAGTCGCATATTGCCGCGCGTGCAGCGGACCAATTGCGCGCCCGTGGTTTAACGGTTATTGTGCTTGGTTCCCACGCAAAGGGCCAAGGTTCGATTCCAGGCAGCAGACATACATTTTTATTATCTCTGTAACTCCCGCATTCTAGTAAATTTCAGAACCCTGTTGCGTATTCGAGGCCCGGATGCTCTACGCTGAATGTTCCAGAAGCCCACGGGTGTACGTAAGGGGCTCCGCAAGGCGAGCCAGTGGAGAGTTTTAGTAGATCGTTCCCATGACTCCGATAACGATACCCGATACTCCGCCACCGCCTCCTTTGCCCACGCATAGTATCGTTATAGGGGCTATCGGAGGTATCGAAACGATCTACTAAAACTCTCTATTCTCGCCCCAGCATTCGATCCTGCTGTTACGCCGACTTCGACGCCCGGGACGCTCTGTTGTTATCTTCTGTTTCCTTTTTGTTTTGGGCACAAGTTTGCCCCATTAAACGTTTTAGTTTCCTCAGTTGTTCCTCGTTCGTCACCTCGTCATTCGTGACAATATCCTTGGGCACATTTATGGCCAAAGGATACGCAATGCACAAACCGTCTCGGCACATCAGAAAGGGCGGAGGGAGATGGAAGCCGACATACTGGCTGGTGTCGAGGGGGAACGCCCCACATGGGCACGAGCGAAGAGTCTGATGCCACCGTGAGAGAGAAGGAGAGAGAGACAGCCAAACACCGGCATGTTGCGTTTTATTTGAGACCTTGCGTCTTGCGGAAAAATACTCAGTAGGGATGCATTTCTCTTTGTCTTTCAAGTACCGTCAAATGCGCCTGAAAGAAAATGGCAGAGCAGTACTAAATGAGTGCCTTTTGGAAGCTAATGGCGGCTGAGCATTCGCTCGTGGCACGTGTCTTACGCGTTCGCACAACAATGGTTGTGAGCATCTGTAAGCGAAGCAAAGCGTAAAGTTTATCAAGGGGCTCTAGGCGAGGCAACTGGAACGCCGTCCCCACCTTTGGGAGCGCCGAGGACGCCGGGCACGAAGACGTGAGCCCCCCGCAGCACGGCCTGGCCGCAGTCTGCGTCCACCACCACTTCCCTCGAGGACGGCACCACATGCGCTCTGCACTGGCGGCTCACCACGAGCAGCAGCTCGTCCAGGCACGGGTGGAGCAGCACCAGGGGGGCCTCTCCCAACCGCACGTGACTCTGCACACTCGCGCAGCATCGAGAGTTCGCTCCACGTTATCACCCCAGGATCTAAGCTGCGGGGATCTGTGCTGCTCCGACAACTCACACTAACCCGATTCTTTCAAATTCTTCTCCTAGATTTGCGGAGATTTTATATTCGCACATACTGATTTCGGTGTTCCTACCGTTGCAACAAAACATGTCTAAAAAAGTGATGACTTGTCTCAAATGAGGAACTCGAATCGCTCGTATATTTTATTTCTGTACCTAAAACCCCATCTCATCCCAGTCTTAGAATTGTACTCATCGTACGGCACCATCACCGACCTCTAAGTATGTGGAACTGGCTTCTCTGGAGCACCGTGCTTACAGCGATGCGAGGCGACATACCTCATGGTGACCAGACCCCGCAAGTGGGATCTGGCATGCTGGTGCTCACCTTCGTTGTAGCACTATTAAATCCTGGAGTATAAATATTCTTCTAGTACGAGTTTATGTATAATGAGTCATTTCAACGTCTCACACTCCTTCAGCCAACCGGAGCTTGCGCCTGATAGCTCTGTATCTGGCAAGGCTGACAGTGCTGGTGGTACGAGCCACAGGTGGAAAAAGGAGACACCCGTCAACACCGAGTCTGGGGTGGACGTTGCGAAACCAAGGAGCTCGCTGCAATCTCTGCGATAAAAACTAGCAAGAAAAGGGGCACCAAGCTCTCTGGAATTATCGTGGCAATGTCCCTTTTCCTTCCTGCTCCCCGCGGCACGTAGCATACAAGCCCCAGTCGCTCACCGTGCCGAGGTGCTCTTGCACGGCGACCCGGGCTTGTCCGACGCTCGTCCTTCGGGTGTTCACACGCACCGTGGTGTACAGCGGCGGCCGGCTCAGCCACCGCCGGAGCTGCCTCCAACGCTCGTCGGCACCGCTGGCATCGTCCTGCACGCGGGACCGCCCGCGCGCTTCAGACTCCCTCGGTTGCGATCGTTCGCCGATGACCGGAACGCGGTGTTTACGTACTTGGCCGCAGGAAGCCCGCAGTTCCGCCAAGAGCTGCTCTTCGACTTGCGGTTGCTTGATGAACGGGTTGGCCGGCAGGAAGCTGTCCATCGTGCCGACGCTGAGCCGTCCCGCGCACTTTCGGATGGAGTGCCCGAACAGGAGCCCGTGCACCCTGCCATTCATTAGCACGTGCGAAGCGCGTCGAGCCCTGGGATCGCCTAGGGACGGCCACGTGCTACGCGGGAGTATGGAACGGGGTACAAGACGTCCGATGTTCCATGTGGACTCTTCCTCTGGACTCTCCACGCGTGCGCAACTCAACTCGCGTATCGGACCGCGTATTTTTCTCTGTGCCGCTGTACTGACTGTGTGGCGGCACCAGCGGCAGCTCCTCTTGGCACCTTGTCGATGGATGTAGCGAGCAAGTTGGACCAGAGCCGTGTTGGACAAGTGTTCCCTTGACTGTGGGCCGAAGCTCTAGAGCATCTCGCACCAATACTATGTTCCTAGTGTGTCACGCGGCTGCCATGTGACACATTAGAACTTCGCGCTTTGATTATGCTTCAAACTGATCGAAGTCACGTGACAACTGCAGAAGTACGGGCGGGTACGGGAATGTTGGAGTGGTTGAAGCCACACTGTGGTTGAACCAGGCGGAGGATTGAAGGATTGAAGGGCAGTCCCAGGGAGACGAGGCTTTCTTGTTGTCCCGGCAATACCGGAGGGATACGTGCCGTTTCGATAATCCGTTTCGCTAAAAAGCTATTAAAAAACAAATTGTCCAGTTTTGGTTAATTTGATGCTGCATGGCACGCGCACCAGAGCCACCAAAGGTTCACCGTACATGGAATGCAGATGATACGCTCCACCGAACACGGAGGCATGGGTATACGGCGACAAAGTTAACTGGGCGCTGCAACTCTGTCGCGGCTGTTTCATTTGTTTGAGAAGAATCGAAAACATATGCGCGTTTGTTCCCGAGCAGCAGTGTTGCTCCGCTGCCCCATAAGTACTGGCCAAGTTGAGGGCTCGAGGCACGGGCGGTTGTGTGGGAGCGTCTGCCCTCGCGTAATGATACCGATGATACCATGATTCTCGTCCCGTTTTTCCCCAGGTAAACGCCAGCGCGTTTGTCCGCCCGTTTCACTCTACGTTTCTGCTCTTTTATTTTTTTTTTTTTCTTATCGCCTCGTGACTGTTTTTTAATGATAGGTTTCCCCAAGGCTATACGCCGCCGCGCCGATTGGTCGAGGGCCTCTATTGAAGCGGCTGACGGCCAATAGGAGCGGAGCTATCCCCCCTTGTTGAGGCATGTGTCCCTCCGCTAGCACGCGCGCGAGGGTTCATGAGGTGACCGTCGCTCCTCTTAGCTGTAGTGGAAAGGCTTTTATTTTGGGGATTTATGACGCAATTTATGTTCTTGTTTGGCCGTGAGTGAACTACCCGTTTGTGTGCGCGATCAGCGAGTGCCTGCGGGACAGCCCCGACACGGATTACGGACGAGACTGCGGCGCGAGCGGCCAAGCCCCCCACCGACCCCGCCGCTACGTTTTTGACAGCCAAAGGGACTCCTCGGTTCGGCGCCGCCAACAGCGCGGCTTCTGGTCCGGGGTCGACGGATCACCGCTTCTACTCGCAGCGTTATTATGAAGGTGAGGTCCGCGGGGGGACGGGCCCGGGATGCCGATCCGAGCTCCGGGAGTCCCGGGGGGTCGCCCTGTCAAAACTCGTTTGCGGCCCGTGTCGTTGTCCGTCGGCCGCACGTGACTTGAACACCGAGGGAGCTCCTTTGTCTGTCGCTGGGCTGTCGCACCGGGTCTCCGATCGGTCGGGGTCGACGAAGAAAACCCAGCGCCGGACCGAAACTCGTTTGTAAACATCCCCGGGTATTGTTGGCCGCTAACCCTAATGAGAGTGGCGAACATTCCTGGCTCTCGGCCGGTGCTAGCTGCGCTCGGCTGCGTGTCGGAACTGATCGGACGGACTGACGGTTCGTCGCCGATCTTGGGTCCCTTTTTTGGGGCTGTTCACTTCGCGCGGATCTGTTGGCCAACGGTCATCGAGCGTTCGCAAACGCACGAAAACAACAAAATATTAGCGGCTATGGGTTTACGTGAGACTTGTGGTGTGGTTCCCGGAGTGTATCAGTCGATCTGTAGCCTTCAGAGTCGGCCGCTGCTAGGACCCTTATCTCGTGTGTGCTCAGCGAGTGGGCTCCGAAAACCGTGGCAACTGGCCGCGACGGGAGACGCAGCGAGCTGACCGAAGTCGGAGTTTTTCGCCAAGTGCCCACTTCGCGAGAAAAACTGTCGCGGAATCATGTTCCGTTCGTTTGCGCGTGCGGGTTCTCAATCATCGGTAATCCGAAACAAAGCGATTTCCAGCGCGTCACTCCGGTGGCTTTCAAACTTCATCGAGCAGGAATACCGTCGACACAAGCATTCGGGGCTTGGGTCGGGCCCAAACCTCGGGACGGTTTTCGTGTCCGGTTTACGCTTTCAGCACCACCGAGGTTAGAATACTTTCGCGAAAATATATTCAAAACTGCTCACATTTGCTACCATAAAAAGAAAAAAGAAAGCGCGATGCAAAATATTGCATTTTTCTTTAAATTATGTAGCACGAGCTGTTCCTGCCCATGCAACTTCTGATCTTGTGGACAGTCGAGCTGAGCGACCAAAACTGGTGAAGCGTACAATGTGCGTCCCCTTCTATCGCAAGTTCGCTATTACCGTCCCAAATTCAATTATGGACCTCTTTGAGGCAGGCGATTGGGTTTAAAGTTGGAGCATCAATTCCTTTCATCAGGAGACCATTCGATGTTCTGGTTGTGGAAGGTGGTGTGCTTGTCTGACAAGATACTTTAGAGGGGTAGAGAAACTTTAGAATGGACACTTGAATCGTGTGGCTTGGAGGAGCCCAGGGATCCAAAGGCCTTATGTGCTACAGTTGAATGATCAAGCTGGGCATTCACTGCTGCATATAAAAAAGATGAGTGGGGAAGAATGGCATCCACTCTTTCCACCCTAGTAGCGCCAAACAGAGCTACCAATACTTCGGTTCGATTTTGTGGCCTTCAGTATGTTTTGGCACGCACTAAATTTTTTGTGTTGTCTTCGCTCCTTACTGCAGTCATCTGTTGGGCAGTTGGAGAGGATGTTGTACCAATCAACGACTAGGCTTGAGCTTTGCACATTCAACTTTGTCTGGGATGCGGTTACGTCATTGACTAATACAGCTGTATCTTGTTCAGAAAATCATATACAGAGTAAAAATGAATGGGGTCAAATATGATGACACCCAACGATGAGGCTTCATAGAATAATTACGGTGGATTTAACTAAAATTTCAACACCACACAGTGTTTAAAAAGAAAAGAGAAAGAGCCACCATTAAGAACCGTTGCAGACCAGGCTGATGCCAGTTAAAATTTTTGACGAATGCTTGTTGGTGAATTTTATGTCTCAGACTGTAGCTTTGTGACAAGTATGAAGTGTCACTCAAGAAGGAGATGTCACGAGGTTTAGCAATTTTCTATCCTCCCCGAGATTTGAATTTGCCAAATATTGAGCTTTCGAGGTATCTAAAAGTTGTGGAACGGTTTTGGATCTCTCCGAGGTTCAATTTAAAAAAATCGACCCCCCCCCCCCCCCCCCCCCCTTTTTTTTTTTTTGAGACAGAGTTGTGAAGTTTTAATTTTTAAGATTTTAAGGGCTCCAATTTTCACAGTCTCGAATAAAGTTTTCATAAATTCATTTTGAACAACGGCAAACTAAGTTTGGCAAATTTTACTAAAATATTAGACTTTTCTTTGTAGCACATTTGACAAAGCTCGAGCATATGGGATGTAGTATAGCATAGCTGAAGACGAAGCTGAAGAAGCCATTGCTGCTGCCAGCTCACTAGATGGCTTGGAGACTTTGCTTACTGCTTGTCAGTCTTCTGCAAGTGCAATCATAATTTGGTTTTTGATAGTCGTAGATCCTTGTCAGGATGGTGAGGAGTGGTTGTTAGTAATTTGCAGCAGTTGCTAAGCATTCAAAACAGACAAAATGAGTTCTGGCTGACACATGTGTCAGAGGCTAAACCTAGTAGCATTGGATTCATTTTCAAATTGTTTTCAATCCCATCAAATTATTTTAAATTCCTAGATCTGACTCTTGGACTTCCCAATTATAAAAGTTTGGCAACAGCCAAATCAAATGTAAAATTATTTTGGCAGTTTGAAAATTGTGGAATTTCTTATTGTAGTAAGTTCACACATCATACAATTTCTCTAGATGAGATTGAAAGTTTGAAAATTTTCCTATTTTGTTTGCAGGTTGGGAAATTTGTAGTCTCCAGCGCCCTCACTAGTTGTTCTTTTTTTCTTCACACTGGCAAGTTTGGGACAAGAGGAATGTGTTGTTACAACTAGGCTTCTTGGGCTAAAGGAAATTAATGTATTCTTTTTTATTAGGCTACTGGCCCTGCCATTTATGCAGTGATGTATGCTCACAGACATACAAAAGTTTAGAGGGTGGGAGGATGTTCTGTCTTTGCACTATGGCAGCACTAGTTCATGCTGTAGATAAGCAATTTAGCCATTGTGGTACGATTGCTGGACTGGGGTCTTGAACATGCATCACACAATAAAGATTACATGACCGCGAGTTGGTAAGGTGGTCGTCCAGATGGGCAGGGTTGGAATGAGCATGGTACTGGTGAGCGATCGTGTAATCGCTACACGACCGCACGCCGGTACAATGCTCAGAAATCTCTCGCAAACCAAGCGAGCAAGAACCCAAATTAGTGGCTGAACTAAATGACCCTCCTTACCATCCTTGAGGATTTTGGGGGGGGGTCTCGAAGGAGTTGATTTTGTCCTCCACCCCCAAAAGCGTAAATTTTTCTTGCAACATGCCAGAGCACACAGTCTAGTCCCGATGAATTTTTCACTAAAGTTATATTTCCTAGAAAAACGAGGAAAGTCATACCTAATCGGAGGGCTTGCCCAGAGCAATGTGACGTCGTCAGAGGGTGTGGTAGTCATGAGGCTTGCTTCACTCCCCAATACTTCGAATCACAGAATTTCTTTAAATCCAAAGTATTTTCACTGTTTTGGTGGTCATAAAAAAAAAAAAAAAAAAAAAAAAAAAAAAATGTGATTTTTATTTTTATCAATCAAGGTGTGACCGATGACCACCTCTGGAATATTCTGAATACTGCATCATTGTTTCACAAGGCCTTGAGCAGCCACGTTTGGTCCAGTGTCTCTTTTGTAAAAAGGCCGATTTTGAGCAAGAACTAAGTTTTCTACACATCATGTTTCTGTAAAAATCTAAATGTGTATAAATGCCTCTCTGAAACCATTTAATTAACTTGCGCTTGGCAGGGTGATTATGGGTGCCTAGATTGTTCCCGACATATCCTACCTGCAAGGTGCCGACTGTCGAGAAGAGAATATTTGCAACTCAAAATCGGTGTGTGTTGTAGTAAACCAAAACTGGCGGCAGAGAATCCGCTGCTTGGGACGTTTATGTTTTTCTCGCCCACGTGTAATAACAGCGGTGCATAATCTGAAATATTGGAAATGTTACAACCACATAAACACTCAAAATGTGTAAATGAAAAGAAACCTTAAAACGTGTAGTCGCAGGGAGCGATACAACCAGTGTGACTTCCAGAGTCTTTGGTTCTGTCCTGCCAGTTTTTGATTTTCTCGGCAAATATAGGACACCCCCGTAATAAGTGCAGTCGGTGGCATGTTGACACCATATTCCAGTACTTTGCTCGAGTGAATTACGGGTGTCGGGGAGCTTCGAGAGGCCACCAAGGTGGTTGATTTAGAATCATTGGGTCAAGTGGCTACTCAACTATTTGGAACCATTCAGTAGCCGCTTAATTGCACGCAAAAAGAGGCGGCAAAGCCTCGGTATTAGCTTACTTGTCATCGGAGCCATGATAAGAATTAGTCTCGTTGCAGCAGGGGAGTCAGAATTTCCATCTTTGAAGTTTGGACAGTGAGAGGCATGGACCTCCAAGCATGGGGCTGTTTGCAAACACGAAGAAACGCCCATTTGAAACTCCTTTTTCTAGGACCTGGCCGTTGTGTGCCTCGCGCTTTTGCATGCAATGAAAGAGAGAGGGAATAACTTGGAGAGTCCGATAGTCTTATTACAACCGGTGCTGGCTACTCCATCGATAGCACATTGTTGCTGCCCTATTTTTGCATTGCGCTCTAGTCACTTGTTGCCGTGTGATTCATGTATTTCGTGCAACGAAGGCTTAAAGGGAAGATGGGGCACTTCTACATTTGAGAAAAAACGCTTGAATTGCGTTCATTTAACCTTTAGAATAACATATATCAAAATTATATTTCAATGCGACGTGCCGGAGAGCCACAAAAGCAATATCAAAATAGGGCTGAAGCCCCGCCTCCCTAGCCTTGGGCAGCCAAAAGAGCCGTCGATGACGTCACGGACAGTGACTGTCTTTCGCTTTTTTCTCGTGTTTAACAATACTTACGCAGCAAATGGTTTGGGTATTCGGGTTCATGGGGTAAAAATACACTAGAATTCACTTGTAACTCATTTTTTCCAAGAAGCTCCGTGGCTTCCCTTTAAGGAAAAAACATTGACGCAACAAAGAACTGCGATCCCACATCTGCTGGGATTTTAGCTTTATTTTGAGGGCAGTTATGTAAACCGTACGTGATCTCCTACAAACATGCTTATCATTTCTCGAAATAATGTGGGAAAAATTGGCAGAAGACTGTTGTTTCCCGAGAAAGAAAGGGCCTTTGACCCAATGCTGATGGCAGGTGGGATGCTAACATTGTATAAAACGGGACAGTACTCAACTTCCGAAGTGCTCATTGTACCGTTCCATTGTTCCCTCACAACGTTTGGGTTCCTCAGTTCTGATCAAACTATGGAGACATTCTGCCAGGCATGCAATAATCTCTAACAACACGATGCTGAGGGCACATTGAATGGGAGCCAAAAGTTTGATGGTTCCCAGGTTTTACGAGAATTGCACCGCACATTAAATAAACGCTCCCGAGTATGTCCATAACGTATGTCGTCAAAAATATTCCTTTCCCGTGGGAAAAAAAGTGACTCTGAAGTTACTGTGCTCGTGTTCCCAGCACTTTTAGTTGCCCTCCTGGCAACACTGAAGAGGAGCAGCGCGAAGGCCACTCGAGGGGGTCACGGGGACTTCACGTGACAGACGTGCTATTCGTGCTGCGCCGTGGACAACCTTGTATGTTGTCCCATTTATTCGTGCCCGTCTTTTTCTCCATTCTGTGGGGGCTACTCTCAGTAGAGTAATTCGAGCCATGCTGTGGGGTGAATTATCTAGATGGGTTTTCAGAGTGTCACATTCCTTTTTTCTTTGCCAAAGATCCTCTTATTCACGTTTTGTTGCGGCTGGTAGAGTAGTCACCATTCGGGTCGAGGGAATTTTGGACCCACTCCGAATTAGCCACACCTAGATCGTGGTAGTGCGCCATCTCGCTGAAAGCGTGTCGCGTTAATACCGGCAGCTTCGGATCTGTGCACGCAGTCACCTGCCTCGATAGCTTAAAAAGTGATATCGTCTTTCATTTTTTTTTCTCGCCTGAAAAATTGCTTTTCAATAGCGCCAGAATTCAATGCCACGAGGGGCGGCACCTAGTGGAGGCACCGTGAACTCGTTTGCCTGGCTCTTTCTGAAAACATATTTCGCTCGAGATACTGGAATGGACTTTAGACCTTCCCAGGCGGTTAGCATTCATCTTGGTTAATTCCTCGCCAGGTTTCCTATGGTGCTCTTCGTTGGTTTGAGTCCTAAACTTCGAAAACTGTATTTTCCTCTTCGTTAGCTCACTTTTCACCGCTCACCTCTTGCCGTGACGTCGGTTGTCTTAGAGCCGGCTTGCGGGACCTAGGCAGGCAGGCCAGGAGATTGCGAGAGATGGCAGTCTGGTGCGGATATGCGCCTTCTTGGAAGCAGTCTGGCATCCCAATAATCGTGGCTCGAGGGATAAGGAGAAAACCAGCCAAGGGGTGGTTCTCCCGTTACCAGGGGGGGACCCGACGTAACTTCTGTATTCGAAACTGAAGGGGGGTCACTCTCGACTGGATAGTGATGCCCGTTTCCCCACATCGGGCGAGTACAGTGTGACCTTCAAAAAGAATGGATGTTTTTTCGCCGCAAAAATGAGCCGTGCCTTTCTCTGCCCAAATGTAGCGCTGGTGGTTTGAGCCAGATGCCAAAGTTGCAAAAGTATCCGTTGTTTCGTTAAAAAATTGGAAGTGATTTTCTTAAAATTTCGGTAGGAAAATGGGGCCCATTCTTGGCAACTAGCGCCATTCGGGTCCATTTCTTCGAGGGCTTCGTCGGCCGCCATCGCCCCGTTGAAAATTTCTGAAGACCACTCGATACTTTTGAATAGGATTCTAAAATTTTGGCATCTGGTTTGGACCGTCGGTGCTGCATTCGGTCAGAGAACGAGCGTTGGGCGATGCACACCGTAAAATGCCCCGAAAGCGCGCGCTATTAACCTGTTCCAAACTTGGGAATTGCGCAAATTATACGTTAAGGGCTCGATTTGATTGGGCAAGCGTCCCTGTCCGGATGAATCCAGTTTTCAGTAAAAGTGGGGCGGGCACTCCCCCGGTATTTTACGTAGGTTTATTTTTGCGGCGGAAAATGACGTGTTCGGGGAGGACACCCGGTACTAGTTCCTTCGATGGGTGGAAGACGAGCGGAGGTTGGGTAGAAGTGGGCTGGACGGGCGGGTGGCTGAGCGGCTGCCCCTGTGCACGCAGGATGAGAAGCCCGAGGTGCAACTGAACGGCCTGGCCAAAGAGGAAGAGCGCGCTGCCGTGGCTCCCGTCAACGGAGACCAGCCCGGAAGCATCCAGACCACCGCTGCCAGCCTGGACGTCGGCGGAAAGCCCGAGGCCGGAACCAAGGTGCCGTGGGGCGACGCTTGGCTCGCGTGCGCCCTGCCACAGGGGGCCGCTTCTCTCGCTCGTACCCTGCTGCGAATTGGTGGTTGTTCAGGCGCGCGTAGATCTACGACGACCTTTCGAGCGAATGCTTGCCCGGCAACTTACGGTAGTGTGCTAGACTCTACCGAGCCAGGAGAGTCCAGGCCATAGAACTTTGCTCAAACGATACTGACCCTAGGTGTCTCGGGTGTGTGAACTGGGTGCGACTGAGTATGAACATTTAAGTTTGATACGTGAGAAAAAGCGCCGCGGAAGGGCTGCTTCATGAAGACCGAGGACTGCTTTTTACGGCGCTATAGTCGTGGAACTTCTTACATCGTTTTATTTGATGCGCGACCTTCAAGATGGAATAGGTTTGTCCGGCATTGCTGCTGTGGAACGGTGTAACGGGTTTAGCCATCCTCTTTTCCGTGTGAATTGGACAGATTGCGGGATTGATCGGGTGATTGGGAAAAGTCACTAGCTGCTGAGGTAGACATCCGTGAATATGCTTAATCTGTTGACCTCATTACTTTGGCAGCAGACACGTTGGAGACCGCTAGCGAGGCATTCTCGCTTGTTTGTGGTTATGCGCAGCTACTATAAAGGCTGGTTCACAGATTGCCTGCGAGTCCCAGGGTTCGTACAGCTCCTTGAAATTCTTGCATACCCGAGATTTCAATAAAAGCCTTTCAGTGGTCCTTACATCTCCTTAAAAGTTGCAATGCCCCTTGTATTGCTCGAAAATTGGGAATCAAACTCTTTTTTGCAAATCATGGCGGTTTTAGAAGCTCACAGGTGGCATACGCAGAAGTACAAACTCCAGAAAGCAAGCAATTGGATACTTTTGGAAACGTCGTTGATTTACATGAAAGGGGACGCGCTTGGCTTTTCTCGACTCGTCCGAACCACAATGGTGCGCGTTGTGTGGTGGTGCCTTGTGGTGCGCAACAATATCGGTGAAGAAACTTGCTCGCCCGGTTGCCCTGACCGCAGACACGACGTTATACTTTTTTGCCGCTAGATGCGCGAGTAAATTTCCATTTTTTCGCCAAAATGTGCCTGTGTGTGCCTGAAAGCGGTACCGACACAGGTGTATTGTTTTATAATGATTTTTCTTCCTTACCCCGATTTTTGTGTTCACAAAAAACATAACTGGCAGTTTTAATCGGGCAGGAATTGTATTTCACAGTTTTCATTGTAAAGCCACCAACGCTCGCGTAAATCCTTGTCCCTATTGCATCGTGCATCGTGTGCCAGTTTTAAAGGGCGCTTCGATGCAATCCGTCCCGCGTCATCGCCATTTTTTCTTAGCCTCGAATGCCTCGAATTTTGTCTTGATGCCCTTAAAATTCTTAAAAAGTCCTTAAATTTTGCATTAAAAGTTTTGTACGAACTCTGCCTACGACCAATCTTGAAACGAGAGAACAGACTGGCGCCACATATCGGGTAGCTGTGGAACATTTTCAGTTTCCCAAGAGTAATTCTTTTTTTGGCTCGACAACTTTTTAGCAATGTATATTTGATCTCGCAAATACCACCAAACCTTGGCTCTTGTGAAATGCAGTTCCAGCGTCGCCTCATAGATGGCGCCAGCGAGCCAGTGTGTTCTCTCGTCGCAAAAGATAGCAAGAACTTGGTTCTAAGCAAACGTAAGCGAGTAAAAGGTAGCTAAAGGGTGGCCCCGTCCCCCAGGTCTCCGGGGGTCCCCCCGTGGGCAACGTCCTCCAGCGCCCGGGCCCCAGCACCTGTCCCTCCGTGCTGGCATCCCCGCCCATGTTTGGAGCTGCGCCCGTCAACGGCCAGGGGGCCAAGGGGCTGAGGGGGGGCCCGCCGCCCCTGGCCCTCGCTCCGCAGGGACTCGCCCCCCAGGGCATGAACCCGCAGGGCATGACCTCTCAGGTGGGTACCCCCAAACGTGGATAGTTTCCGGTGCGCTGCAAAAGGAGTTTCTCGAGTTCTTTATAGGATAAATTCTTGTCAAGTACTCGCTTTAGTCTAAAAGGTGCCCCCGTGGTTACTCAATGGGGGGCTGCTAACTGCATTGATGTGATTGCTGCGCCAATAGACCCTTTGCAAAACGTACAGCGCCACAACGGCGGGGAATTTTGGGAACCCTCAGTACAGATCACGCGCTTTCTCGTTTCGCCTCCGCGACTGCGCACGCGTCCCAGCAGCTACCGTCAGCAGCCGTTGCAGCCATCCGCCATCCCGCCCATCCGCCGAGTCGTACGTCGCTGGCGGCGTACCGTATCTGTGGCAGCGTAAAGGCATCGTGGCGAGTGAACTTATTAGAATACGTTATTCGTCGTAACTTACCTTCACGTATAGAAGTGTTACCAAATCCATTTAGTTAGCACCGCAACCGTGGCTGGTTTCGACCAGGTTCGACAAAGCGTTGGTGCAGCAGACGACAGAGCCGGTACAAAGGAGAGGGATGAGGAAAGGGCAGCCGTTGGCTCGTCGCTCGCCCGATTTGGTTCCTCAAAAGTTGTTGCCGTGGTAACCTGTGCCTGATCGCGTATGCCGCGTGGTCACGTGGTAGCGGGAGTAGGGGCGTACCGAGGACTTCTATTATTCGTCGCGCGGCGCACGAGGGCTTTAGGGATTTTTGCAAAGGGTTTATTGCGCCAAACTGCGCCAAGGGGCTAACCCTGCTACATCCTGCTTCATTTTGCCAAAACATGGGTAATCTGAGCCAAGTTTGCGCCAAAAAAACAATTTTGGTCGCTTTTCAAAACCGAAACTAAACTGAGTACCATAATAGACAATGATGATGGGGATGAACTTGCTGCTCTTCACTTTGAATCGGGTGGGTGCGAATAAATGCTCCCAAGCTTTTAAAGAGGGGGGGGACTAGTAAGTTGGTGTCGCCGTGAATGGTGGTTAGTGTCATCTTCGATGAATCTTTCTTCACCACTCTTCTAAGCGTCTCTTAGTCCATTCAACAGCAATCTGCAAGGCCACGTTGACGGTGGTGCGACCACTGGGGTTTGCTCCGGTGGGTGCACGCGGGCTTTTTTTGCGTTGTCGTAAAGCCCAGTGCCGTCGCTAGAAGTCGCGCTGTCCCAGGGGGTGGGGCCAACTCTTCTGCGGGGGTTGGCAGTATGCCAACCCCCGCAGAAGAGGGAACAACCGCATGCTCGGTTGTTCCCTCATTCGCCTTACACACAGTACAAACCCCTCTTTTTCTCTTCTTTTTTTTTTTAAGTATATTGATGGTGTCAGCCACTCGAGAATAAGTTACGAATATTAAGCGCAAGTTTGTTTTCGGTGGTTTCACTAAGAATCTCTTTTTATAAAAATGAGCTTCCTTCCAGCACCAGAGCAAGCCGACTCATGCACTTGTTTTAGAACTGTGCGTTCCTAAGCAGCTGATTATGCCTTTTCGCACAAGGATGATTTGTAGGATATATTTAGCTGGGCCGTTAGCCCCTGTGTCACAGTTTTTTTTTTTTTGCGGCTGCGGGTCTAAAGAGTCCGAGCAGTTCTTCACCCAGTGCTCCTTGACCCAACTTGTGCAGACCTGAATTGCAGAGTTCTATGAACCTTGAACGTTTAATATTGGTTCCCCCAGGGGCGGATGCAGGAATTTCCTGAGGGGGGGGGTCAGGTGTTGGTCAGCGTACCATATGTTTAGGAACCCCCTCTGCCTCGTTTCACGCCCTACATTTTACAGATGAAGAAATCAAGAGGGGGGGTCAGGACCTCCGGACCCCCCCCTCTAAATTCGCCCCTGGGTTCCCCCTTGTCTTAACCTTAGGAATATTGCAGATATGATTCCACACACACAAAAACAAAAACACGAAATTAAATTTATTATTTAATTTTTTACTCCGTTCTTCTGGAAGATCCACAGAAAGGTTTCTGAAAACATCATTATAAGGAGTGCGTGTGATACAGCGCAAATTTACGATAGCAGTCTTTTTTAATCTCGCAGAAGAATAAAAACTATACTGAAGATCTACACTAGCATACTCACACAAGCGGCGCAGACAAGCGTAAAGGGAAATGACCGGCGTGGTGCCGTTGTGGAAGTACGCTGAATACAACGTATTAAAAAAGAAAAAAACTATTCTACGTAAAGTTGACACATTTTCCTGTTCTAGTCATAATAATAATGCTAACAAATAAATGCGGTACTTGCGCATATATACTTTTCGGCTCCTTCGGAGAAAATGGATGAGAAATGTGAACCAGATAGCTCAGCGCACTTTTAAATTTCATGTATACTCTAGCGTATGACCAGTGCTCACAAATGTGGTTGCTTGCTGTATTGGCTACAAGTAAAAAAGCTTTTCTCGCAACGCGAACTCGATCTGTTGGGAAGCGAGCAAGCGCGACTTGTAAACTCGCCAACAGGTCCAGGTTAGCAGTCAAGAGCCCGCTTTTATGCTTTCGTCTACATCTCAAAAATGTTTCTCGAAACGTGAGAGGCGCATGATAATGATGATACAGCGTAAAGTAGGCCAGCGTTCGCCTTTGCTTTTAACACCGTTGTCTTTATCATTCGTGTGCGAAACAAAGTTGTTACATTGCCTGGCTCTTGTGCACTTTGCATCAGCCTTCAATCGGGTGTAAAGAACCTCCTCGAAAGAAATAAAAAATAAATAAAACGCAATACAGTGTATTTGAGTGATGTTGACTAGACCTCCCGGGCTCTGCGCGAGCGAAGCTACGATCCTAGCCAACATCAAGTTCCCAAGAAATAATTGATGCTCGCTGATGTTACTTGCATATATCATGAGCCCCTTGTGCCATTTTGGAAAGTGTCGTATATTAAGAAAAAGTTAAAAGCCCTGTAAAGCACACAACACTAACGCACGGGTGCTCTTTTTAGGAGCACGAATAGTATAGGAAAGTGCTTTGGCTATTCAAACATTCACTATAATGCCTTTAACTTGAAAAGAAAAGCAATACAATCTGAATATTTAGAGCATTTGTTTTTAATTTTATTTCCTCGTTGAATACATACATAGCGTACCAAATAACCAGCCATGCCGTGATGCTGTGAAACGAAACCATGTTTTTGCACGGCGGGAGTTATTTCGTGAGCTGAAGCACTCGCTCCTCAAAGCAATGGTCGTGGGATAACTATATTTGGTTCCTGCTTTCCAGTCACCGTGGTCGCGCGACGTCGGGTGCAGATATGGTGCTTTCTAAAATGAAACTAAGTACTGCCGCATGTTCGTCAACATTCCTGTTCTCGTTTAAATCGTACATTACTACAAAAATCTCTCTTTAACTCAAAGACTGCTGTGTCCAAGTATTGATTACCTAGGTTTCATTCGCTAGGTTTTCTTTCGAAAGGGACCCCGATACGTGAAAAATCTGCCCCGCAAAAAAATTTGGTTAAGAGAAGTGAGCTGAAGCAAAGACGGCAATGTCTGCACGCTGAACCCGTCTCGAGTTCAGTCATTGCACAAAGTGCTCCAAGAACTTTTTGACCCTGGCCCGCCATGTCTTACACTGATGAACTCGGTTCTTTTTTTTTTTTTTTTTGTGTGTTTAGCTTGTATGTTGTTTGCTGGCCTGGCAAGCATGCACCACTGGACTCTTCTTTGTTGTATGCTCAACAGTTACATTTTGCATACAATTTTGGGAATCAGTTGGTGATGGAGCGGAGTTGCATGGTTTTGGTTTCTATCGAACAGCCGTCGTCTCCGCTCGCGCGACAGAGCACGCGCAACTGCGAGCCTGCCGAAATTGCCCTCACATGCATGCGAACATGATTGTACCACAGAGGGACCAGCTGTGGGAGGCTTGCAGTCAATCGTTTTCGTTTGCTCATTTTTGACGAAAATTGGCACGTCGGGAACCAGTAAAACGGCGGCAAGTGGCTTTTCAGAATTGCTCGGCAACGCCTACAGCACCGCACACTTGCGGGATGTCTCAGCAGTAAAAACACAAGCAGCGAGTTCAGTCGCAACACATCACGTCAGAGCACAACACAACACAATAAGTGCCCTTCGTTTGTACAGCATTTAAAACAAATATATTTATTTTTCTAAGAATACCTGCTCCAAAAGCCGTTTTAGCTGCTCCGAAACACTGTCTTGGCTGCTCCAAAAAATGCTCCAAAATTGCTTAGGCCAATCACATCACTGTAATTGAAATTACTTCTTTGAGCTAGTATTTATTTATCTGCGAAGCGTGGCACCTTTTCCGTCGTTTTATGTTGCTGTCTGTTGGATGGTAAGCAGTGATGGGGGCCAGTGCTAAAGCAAACTTGTCCCCTCGTGCTTAGGCCTACCTGCCAAGCGTCCGGCGTTACCCAGGAGACTCGGATTTTGTCCATCTCGTACGGTTGCACGCTTGACAAAAAATTTCCCAAAAAACTCAAATTAACCTCCTTCTCGGGCTTGGAAAAATGCAGTGGGCCTCTACATCTATTCGAGCCCTGCTCTTTGTCTGGCCACATCGGCTTGAAATCCGATCCGATCCTATCCAGGGACTTTATCCGGTCCAAGCCAGGGGGTTTGGAACGATTCTCTTTGTCTCTTTCATTCTTTTGACGGAGGCTTATTGCGGAGAAGACGCCGTGTAACCGAGCTTTCGGTTGCACGTCAAAAGATCCCCAGGTGGTCAAAATTAATCCTCAGTCCTCCGCTGGGGCGTGCCAGATGCCCGTCGTTGGTTTGGCACGTAAAACCCCCCAATTTGACTTTCTTTCATTCTCTTTGTCGTTCATGTGTGCCTAGGCATCAGCCACTTCCTTTGGCCTCTACCACTCCTGGCTTTGAGCAAAGAGTGCAAATGTGAAACTGTCTGCAAGCATTTTTGAAGACCTACACGACCGAATTCGGTTGCGTTGTGGAGGGAAGGGCAAACATAGCATATTCTGCGTCGTTTGTAGCTGCAGCATACCGTTAGATACCGAGCATGCGCCCCCCCCCCCCCCC